CTTGTTTCTTGGGTATTTTTGTTTGTATGTTTTTGTTGAGTTTTTTATTGTGTGTGTGCTTATGCGTCTGGGTCCTGTTTATGTTTGTTTTGTATGTAGTAGTTTGTGTGCAGTAATATCTGTTCTTGTGTTTGCTTTTGTGTCTGGTTTTCTGTTTGTGTGTGTGTGTGTGTGGGGGGGATTCCCTGTCCTTTCTTTTTTTCCAGGTTGAAGGAGGGCACAGGGCTGAGATTTACCGGGGGGAGGGGGTGGGATTAGAGTTTTGTTATCAGGGATCTATGGTCTGTGCTGGGTTGTGCTTTTTCTGTTATAAGAAAGAAATATATATATATAAATAATAGCCATGATCACAGTTTGATCGTAGCATAGCATGATCAAGTCATAAGCAGGAATAGCCTGAAAAAGATGCCATAAATATTCAGGACCATCTGTAAATATTCAGCAGTTCGTAAATATTAATCATGAGTGCTCATAAATATTAATCACATCTCATAATTATTAATGAGCACTGTGAATAATGGTCAAGTGAATAATAATGAGCTTTGATGAATATTCAGGAACCTCATAGGTATTCATGATGTTCATAAATATTGATGAGCTGGCATAGATAATGAAATGTAGTATTAAATAACTGCATAAATACGCATGAAGTGTTATAAATTGTAATTATAAATTATAATAGCTCGCAATCAATATCGCAGGGCACTCATGAATATTCATGAAACGTATTATGGATATATGTGAGGTCTTATGGATATTGATGATTGTTGATGACTATTAAGTCATAAGAGGTGTGATATTTGTGAGCTTATTTAATATGTAAATTGATCCACTAAATATGTAAATCAGGCAAAGGCTTGGAAAAGTGCAAGATTGTGAAACTCCTGTCTGGAATGGGTTGTGGCACAGGTCTTTCTGTCTTTGTCTGTCTGTCTTTGTCTTTCTGTCTATCTTTCCATTCTTCTGTCTGTCCGTCTGTCTTTCTGTCTGTCCATCCATCTGTCTGTCCGTCTGTCTTTGTCAGTCTTTCTGTCTGTATTTCCGTCTGTGTTTCTCTTTCCTTCTGTCTTTCTCTTTCTTTGCCTTTCCGTCTGTCCCTCCCTTCCCTCCTTCCCTCCTCCCCTCCTCTGTCTTTCCGTCTGTCCGTCTTTCCGTCTGTCCGTCTTTCCGTCTGTCCGTCTTTCCGTCTGTCTTTGTCTGTCCGTCCATCTGTCTTTGTCCGTCTGTCTGTCTATTCCCTCCTTCCCTCCTTCCTTCCCGTCTGTCTATTCCTTCCTTCCCTCCTCTGTCTTTCCGTCTGTCTGTCTCTGTCCGTCCGTCTTTCCATCTGTCTTTGTATGTCTCTCTGTCCATCTGTCTATTCCTTCCCTCCCTCCTTCCCTCCTCTGTTTCTGTCTTTCTGCCCATCTGTCTTCGTCTGTCCATCTGTCTCTCTTTGTCTGTCCGTCCGTCTTTCCGTCTGTCTTTCCCTTTCTGTCTTTCTGTCTCTGTCTCTCTGTCTCTCTGTCTCTCTTTCTCTTTGTCTTTCTGTCTGTCTTTCTGTCTTTCCGTCTGTCTTTCTCTTTCCGTCTTTCCATCTCTTTTTCGTCCTCCCGCCTTCCTTCCCTCCTGTCTGTTTCCATCTTTCTTTCTGTGTTTCCTTCTGTTTCTTTCTGTCCGCCTGTCTATTCCCTCCTTCCCTCCTCTGTTTCTGTCTGTCTTTCCATCTGTCCATCCATCTTTCTTTCCGTCTGTCCGTCTGTCTGTCCATCCGTCTGTTTTTGTCCGTCTTTCTCTTTCTTTCTGTCCGTCTGTTCCCTCTTCCCTTCCCTCCTTCCTTCCCGTCTGTCTATTCCCTCCTTCCCTCCTCTGTCTTTCCGTCTGTCTGTCCTTCTTTCCGTCTGTCCTTCTTTGTCTGTCTGTCCGTCTGTCTTTCTCCATCTGTCTTTGTCCGTCCGTCTGTCTGTCTTTCTGTCTATTCCTTCCCTTCCTCCCTTCCTTCCCCCCCCTCTCTCTCCCTCCTTCCTTCCACCCTTCCCTCCTGTTTCTGTCTTTCTGCCCATCTGTCCATCCATCTGTCTTGGTCTGTCCGTCCGTCTGTGTCTCTCTGTCTCTCTTTCTGTCTTTGTCTTTCCGTCTGTCTTTCTCTTTCCGTCTGTCTTTTCGTCTTCCCTCCTTCCTTCCCTCCTTCCTTCCCTCCTGTCTCTGTTTCTGTCTTTCTGTGTTTCCGTCTGTCTTTCTGTGTTTCTTTGTCTGTCTTTCCTTCTGTCTGTTTCTTTCTGTCCGTCTGTCTATTCCCTCCTTCCCTCCTCTGTTTCTGTCTTTCCATCTGTCCATCCGTCTTTCTTTCCGTCTGTCCGTCTTTGTCCGTCTTTCTGTCTGTCTCTTTCTTCTGTCCGTCTGTTCCCTCCCTCCTTCCCTCATCTGTTTCTGTCTGTCCGTCTGTCTATCTGTCTTTGTCCTTCTGTCTTTCCCTTTCTTTCTTTCTCTTTGTCTGTCCGTCTGTCTTCTTCTGTCTTTGTCTTCTTCTTTCTGTCTTTCCGTCTGTCTTTCCCTTTCTGTCTTTGTCTGTCTTTCTCTTTGTCTTTCTGTCTGTCCATCCGTCTTTGTCTTTCCGTCTGTCTTTTTCCTTCCGTCTTTCCGTCTGTCTTTCCGTCTTTCCCTCCCTCCCTCCCTCCCTCCCTCCCTCCCTTCCTTCCTTCCTTTCTTCCTTCCTTTCTTCCTTCCTTCCTTCCTTTCTTTCTTTCTCTCTTTCTCTCTTTCTCTCTTTCTCTCTTTCTCTCTTTCTCTCTTTCTTTCTTTCTCTCTTTCTTTCTTTCTCTCTTTCTCTCTTTCTTTCTTTCTTTCTTTCTTTCTTTCTTTCTTTCTTTCTTTCTCTCTTTCTCTCTTTCTCTCTTTCTTTCTTTCTTTCTTTCTTTCTTTCTTTCTTTCTTTCTTTCTTTCTTTCTTTCTTTCTTTCTTTCTTTCTTTCTTTCTTTCTTTCTTTCTNTTTCTTTCTTTCTTTCTTTCTTTCTTTCTTTCTTTCTTTCTTTCTTTCTTTCTTTCTTTCTTTCTTTCTTTCTTTCTTTCTTTCTTTCTTTCTTTTTCTTTCTCCTCCTTCCCTCCCTCCCTCCCTCCTCTGTTTCTTTCTGTCTGTCTTTGCCTGTCCATCTTTCCATCTGTCTTTGTCTGTCTGTCCATCTGTCCATCCATCTTTGTCTGTCTTTCCGTCCTTCTGTCTCTGTCTTTCTGTTCCTTCCTCCCTCCCTTCCTTCTCTGTCCGTCTGTCTGTCCATCTTTGTCCATCTTTGTCTGTCTATCTGTCTTTGTCTGTCCGTCTGTGTCTGTGTCTTTCTGTGTCCATCTTTCTGTCCCTCTTTCTATCTTTCTGTCCGTCTGTCTTTGTCCGTCTCTCTGTCCATCTTTCTGTCTTTGTCTGTCCGTCTTTCTGTGTTTGTCCGTCCGTCTTTCCGTCTGTCTGTGTTTCTGTCTTTCCATCTTCTTTCCATCTGTCTTTCCGTCTGTCTTTTCCTTCCCTCCGTCTTTGTCTTTCTGTCCGTCTGTCTTTCTGTCCGTCCGTCTGTCTTTGTCCGTCTATCTCTTTCTTTCTGTCGGTCTATTCCTTCCCTCCTTCTTTCCCTTCCCTCCCTTCCCTCCCTCCTCTGTTTCCGTCTGTCCATCTGTCTTTGTCCTTCCATCCGTCTGTCCGTCCCTTTTCCGCCCGTTTTTGTCTGTCTCTTTGTCTGTCCGTCTTTTTGTCTTTCTGTCTTTCCTTCTGTCTTTCCGTCTGTCTTTCTCGTCCTCCCTCCGTCCTTCCCTACTGTCTCTGTTTCTTTCTTTCTGTGTTTCTGTCTTTCTGTGTTTGTCTTTCCATCTTTCTGTCTGTCTTTCTGCCTGTCTATTCCTTCCTTCCCTCCTCTGTTTCCTTCTGTCCGTCCGTCTTTCTGTCTCTCTCTTTCTGTCCGTCTATTCCTTCCCTTCCTTCCCTCCTCTGTTTCTGTCTGCCTGTCCGTCTGTCTTTGTCCATCCGTCTTTCCGCCTGCCTTTCCTTTTCTGTATTTCTGTCTTTGTCTCTCTGTCTTCCTCTTTGTCTGTCTGTCTTTCTCTTTCCTTCTGTCTTTCCATCTGTCCGTCTTTCTCGTCCTTCCCTCCTGTTTCTTTCTCTCCCTTTCTCTCTCCCTCTCTCTCTCCCTCTCTCTCTCCCTCTCTCTCTCCCTCTCTCCCTCCCTCTCTCCCTCTCTCTCTCCCTCTCTCCCTCCCTCTCTCCCTCCCTCTCTCTCTCTCCCTCTCTCTCTCTCCCTTTCTCTCTCTCCCTTTCTCTCTCTCCCTTTCTCTCTCTCCCTCTCTCTCCCTTTCTCTCTCTCCCTTTCTCTCTCTCCCTTTCTCTCTCTTTCTCTCTCTCTTTCTCTCTCTCCCTCTTTCCCTCTTTTTCTCTTTCTCTTTTTCTTTCTCTATTTCTCTCTCTCTCTTTCTCTCTTTTTCTTTCCGTCTGTCTATTCCCTCCTTCCCTCCCTCCCTCCTCTGTTTCTGTCTTTCTGTTCGTCTGTCTGTCTTTGTCCGTCTTTGTCTATCTTTCCGTCTGTCCATCTGTCTTTGTCTTCCCATCTGTCTTTGTCCATCTGTCCGTCTTTCCATCTGTCTTTCCTTCTTTCCGTCTGTCTTACCATCTTTCTGTCTTTGTTTTTCTGTCTGTCCGCCTCTGTCTGTCTGTTCCTTCCTTCCTTTTCTCTCTGTCCGTCCGTGTCTATCTGTGTATTTCTGTCCATCTGTCTTTGTCTGTCTTTCCATCTGTCTGTCCGTCTTTCTGTCTTCGTCTGTCTTTGTCCATTTATCTTTCTGTCTGTCCATCTATCTGTCTTTGTCTTTTTGTCTGTCTTTCCATCTGTCTTTGTCCGTCTATCTTTGTCCGTCTATCCATCTGTCTGTCTTTGTCTTTTTTCTGTGTTTCTGTCTTTCCATCTTCCTTTATGTCTGTCTTTCCATCTTTCCGTCTGTCTTCCTGTCCTTGTCTGTCTTTCCGTCTTTGTCCGTCTGTCTGTCCTTCTGTCTGTCCGTCTTTGCCTGTCTTTGTCTTTCTGTCCGTCCGTGTCCATCTGTGTCTGTGTCTTTCTGTCTGTGTCCATCTTTCTATCTGTCTGTCCGTCTGTCTTTGTCCGCCTGTCTTTCTGTCTTTGTCTGTCTTTTCCTTCCCTCCTTCCGTTTCTGTCTTTTTCGTCCGTCTTTTTCGTCCGTCTTTTTCGTCCGTCTTTTTCGTCCGTCTTTTTCGTCCGTCTTTTTCGTCCGTCTTTTTCGTCCGTCTTTTTCGTCCGTCTTTTTCGTCCGTCTTTTTCGTCCGTCTTTTTCGTCCGTCTTTTTCGTCCGTCTTTTTCGTCCGTCTTTTTCGTCCGTCTTTTTCGTCCGTCTTTTTCGTCCGTCTTTTTCGTCCGTCTTTTTCGTCCGTCTTTCTKTGTCTGTCCGCCTGTCTTTGTCTTTGTGTCTTTGTGTCTTTGTCTGTCTTTGTCTTTCTGTCTGTCCGTCCGTCTTTGTCTGTCTTTCCGTCTGTCTTTGTCTTTCTGTCCGTCTTCCTTTGTCCGTCTTTGTCTTTGTTTTTCCGTCTGTCTTTCCGTCTTTCTGTCCGTCTGTCTTTCGTCTTTGTCCGTCTTTCTGTCCGTCCGTCTTTGTCTGTCTCTGTCCGTCTATCTGTCTGTCCATCTTTCTGTCTTTGCGTCTGTCTGTCTTCCTGGCTTTCTTTCTGTCTTTGTCTTTCTGTCTTTTTGTCTTTCTTTTTGTCTTTTTGTCTTTCCGTCTGTCTTTGTCTTTCCGTCTGTCTTTGTCTTTCCGTCTGTCCATCTTTTCCTTCCCTCCTTCTGTCTTTGTCCATCTTGCCATCCGTGTCTTTCTGTCCGTCCGTCTGTCTTTCCATCTGTCTTTGTCCGTTTGTCATTCTGTGTCTTTCTGTCTGTCCACCTGTCTTTCTGTCCGCCTGTCCGTCTGTCGTTGTCTTTGTCTGTCTTTGTGTCCGTCTGTCCGTCTGTCGTTGTCTTTGTCTGTCTGTCTCTGTCTTTCCATCTTTCCAACTTTGTCTTTCTGTGTCTGTCTGTGTCTGTCTTTGTCTTTCTGTCCGTCCATATTTGTCTGTCTTTGTCTGTCTCTGTCCGTCTCTCTGTCCGTCTGTCTCTCTGTCCGTCTTTGTCTGTCGGTGTCTGTCTTTCTGGCTTTCTGTCTGTGTCTTTCTGGCTTTCTGGCTGTCTGTGTCTTTGTGTCTGTCTGTCTTTGTGTCTGTCTGTCTGTCTTTGTGTCTGTCTGTCTTTGTCTGTTTCTGTCTGTGTCTGTCTGTCTTTGTCTGTGTCTGTCTGTCTTTGTGTCTGTCTTTTTCTTTCTTTGTAATTTGTCTTCTTCCTCCCTCCCTCCCTATTCTGTTCTCAAGAAACTGACCAGACTCTTCTCCCTTTCAAACCCACTCATCAATATTTGTCAGTCTTTCTCAGTCGCTCCCACTTACACCTCCTCTCTCTCCCCTTTTCTCTGCTACCTCTCTAGCCCCTTGGCTCAGCCCTTATCTCTCACTCTCTACTTCTTTCTCTCCCTTCTTTATCCCACCTACCTCTTTCTCACACTAACTCCCCACATAGTTACACACAAAGATGCATTGCCTTTATTTTCACAGCATTGGGCATATTTCACAGCACATGTCATTCATGTCCAACGTGTGATTTTGTTTCCTCAGGTGTCGATCCTATTATCTGGGAGCAAGCCAAAGTCGATAATCCTGATCCTGACAAGTAAGTCTAACAAACAAGTGTTACAATATGAAGTTCGTTGGAGACGGGAGAAATGCAGACTGATCAGCATAACTGTTAGAGAGCCACTTACACGATAACTTGCTCTCCTCAATATCTACTTGTAGTTACTAGAGAGGCCAGCCCCCTAGGTATCCACAACTCACTGACTTGCAGTGAAAACATCTGATACCTAAGTTAATTCTTAAAGTATATTTTGCAAACACCTATTTCATCATATCCTGTCATTTAAACAGCTGGAAAAGTGGGGTAGCCTTGCACATACCAGTAGCTACACGGAACTTGGACTCACTTCTGTTACCATTTTTAGGAATAAGTGAAGACTGTGAAATGACTAAGTCATACGTCCACTTGTAACGCACTGAGAGGATATTCTGTTTACAACAGCTGTGTGCTATAAACATGTGTTATAAGACATGTTATAAGCCATAATCCATTCTTGCAGGCTTATTCCTGTGCCAATGGTGGGGTTCAAGGAGCTGCTGAGACGACTGAAGGTGCAAGATCAGATGACCAAGCAGCACCAAACCCGCTTGGATGTGAGGTTCCCTTCCTGTATTGGGATTCGCTGCTGCTGAGGAGGGAGACAGTACAAAACACACTGCTTTTACTCACCTCTGCTGGCTGCACAGCTCCTGCTGCACCCACACATACAGAGTTGCCTGCTGGGCATATTTTATTTTATTTTATTTTATTTTATTTTATTTTATTTTTGCAGGTGAGCAATGGAGACACCCTCAAGTGGTTACAGATACCTGAGAGTGACTTCCTTCATGGTTGTCATGAGCTGTAAAGAAACTGAGCACTTGGTATCTGCATCATCCTGAGCCCTCACACATGGGGAACCTCAGGGAGTGGATGCGGGGGCCCGAGCAGCCCCGCACATGCAGTATCAATTTCCCTTTCTAGCCTGCAAAAGGAAGGAGAAATAAAGGGCTGCTCTTGATGGGGCCCTTAGGCCTCTGCTAATTACAGAGGACCTGGTGGATGACCGTTAATCCGCAGAATTCCAGTCCAGCTCGTGTTACCTGTAACTTTGAAACACCCTGATTATCCTTGTTTCTCTAGAAGCTGGCATCTCTTTTTGTTCTCTATTATATTCCTCCTCTATTTCTGTGCTCTGAGGAACAAACATGTGAGCGATACAGTTTTCAGTTTTGCTTTGCTTTGCCCAAGCTTATTGTGGTGTTACTGCTCTGCTGTGCATGAAAGCAGCAAGCAAGCAGAGCCTCCCTGGGCACCCGAGGCTGCCAGACCCTGAGGAGCTCCGGTGCTAGTGTGAGATTGGATCTATGCGGCATGGTACCGGAAAGCGTCGCCCTTTCCAACGCGCTCATCTCCTCTGCAGATCATATCCGAAGATATCAGTGAGCTGCAGAAAAACCAGACAACCACCATGGCGAAAATCGCGCAGTACAAGAGGAAGCTGATGAAGCTCTCTCACCGCACTCTCCAGGTAGGGGGCCTGCCCCAAACAGCACAGCGAGCACCGCGGCCAGGGCCGGGCACGGAGCTGACGCGCGCTGTGCCTTAACACATGCACAGACCTGTCAGGAATAATCCCCCTGGACCCTAATTCCCCCTTACCCAGAGCCGAGGGCTGGTGGTGAGGTGCCGACCTGCAAATGGATCAAGCGTGACTGGCGAGAGGCTAGACAAGGGAGATGAGAGCAGAGCAGGGCTTCCCCGGTGATTCTCCGTGGCTTCTTCTGCAGGTGTTAATCAAGCAGGAAATCCAGAGGAAGAGCGGCTATGCCATCCAGGCGGACGAGGAGCAGCTTCGTGTACAGTTAGACACAATCCAGTGCGAGCTTAACGCGCCCACGCAGTTCAAGGTGAGCGATTACCAGAACCTTGCACAGCAACCTTATTTCTGCCCCCCCCATAAATCATTGCAAATTAACTTTCCCACTTTCTGTGTTGCACTTGGAGAAAACTTACAAGCAGTGTTTCTAAATAACAGGGTCATGCTTTTTGCTGCCTCATTGGTGGCATACCTTTGAGCGTTTTAGAACTTTTAATGTGCAGTAATTCCATTAATATTAAATATAAAATTTATTTTCATTATCCCAAACTATTAAATATTTTAATAAGCTTTAGACCTACTTCTCAAGAAGTGAGGCGAACCTGGAATGAGCAGCACTAAGCCCTTTGCTTCTCATCTGTCCCTGCAGGGCAGACTCAACGAGCTCATGTCCCAGATCAGGATGCAAAACCACTTTGGAGCCGTGAGAGCAGAGGAGCGCTACTACGTGGATGCGGATCTCTTAAGGGAAATCAAGCAAGTGAGTATTGCCCACCAAGGGCAAGGGTACTCCTGAAAATGCACAGTTCAACCCCTCCTGGCATTCCCTGGGAGCTCTGTTCAGCTTTGGAGGGGGCTTTCAGGTTTGTGACGATCAAGTCAGTTTTACTTCTTTTGACAACATCACGTCAAATCAAGATTGCACAAAGCTACTCTACACAGTGAGGCTAGCGCTGGTCAGAGTGCTGTTTCTTCTTACCGTAAAATTATACAGGGTTTGTCAGCGTACCAGGGCCTCTGCACTCCAGCAGCTTTTAGACCTATTCATCTGTCAGGTTGCACTGCGTTAACCTTTTCTTTAAATCCACTTCCCGCAGCACCTGAAGCAGCAGCAAGAAGGCCTGAGTCACCTGATAAGCATCATAAAGGATGACCTGGAGGATATAAAGCTCATAGAGCACGGCCTCAACGAGAGCATCCCCATCAGAGCGGGCATCTTCAGCTGACCACGCGGCTGCCCGCGGGGGGGGGTGTCACACGGCAGGCGGTCACTCCATTCGCTTTCCAAGGCCAACATGCCTGAGATGAATTAAAACGTGCATCTTCTGCAGGTGTCGTGGCTGATATCCTCAGAATTTGCAGAGCCTCTTGGAAGCTTTTCACCTTGACCTTCGGAAGGCTAATGTTTCATAAAGCTCTGTATGCTTTAGTAGAAGGAGGAAAACTGAATCTGTTCAGATACTGATTTACTATAAAATTATTATGTACTATTGTACATTATTTTTATTTTTTTCTCAACACCATTGTCTAAAAGAAGCAATGCTGAGGGCACTGGTCCAATTGCGACTTGTTTTGTGGAAAACTGAGCCTGCTTCCATTTGTGTCAAAAGAATTGGCTAGTAACATGATGTAAAGAGCTAATTGAGATGATTAAAGTCACGTCTGTTACTTTTACAGTAAGTCTTGACAATACCGTTATTGGAGGGGAAATGGCAGGAAGCTGACATTGTCTGTCTGTCCTTCCCTGCGGCTGTAGGGAGTTGAAGTTTTTATGTTATCACTTTGTGTATGTGAGTTATACAAAGCTCAGCTGCCCCTCAAGCAACAACTGAATGTCTGGATGTCGTCTTTTTTGTTTTTCTTTATAGAACCTAATAAATTCCATCTCACTTTGTGCTGCATTGTGCACGGTGTTGGCTCTTTCTCAGCTCGATCAGTATGCAAGTGAAACAGTGAAACTGGTGACAGGGACAAGGTAACGCACTGCACTGCCCTCCCCTGGCTGCAGGGGATCGCGCGACGCCGCTCCCTCCTACCTGCTGCCGCGTCCTGCAGCGCCGATGGTTACTGCAGGCACCAGACACCACCTGGAGCCCAAGTAACTTGTTTTGCCTTATTACAAAGTCACTTAAACGAGCTGAACTGAAGCTAGATCCTGTTTGCATCATGAGATCCTACCGCACACAGCAATTGCCATTAGTACACAACCACACGTTTCCGCAGGAGGTGAAACATTTCTTTCATTAGCCTCAAGGAAGATTTTTCCTTCATAAAATATATGCTGTGGATCAACAGAAATACAGCCTAAGGATTTTGTAATAGAGGCCTCTGCAAGTGCCCGCACCGCATGTTCAAGACAGAAGGGGCTCCAATGAAAAGAATAACCTAAAATCAACATCTCTCACTCATTTTTCATTCTCAATTGCACCAAAATAACCCTCACAAAGAACCTCTCTCAAACATGCACCATAGCTGCTCCAGCAGGACTGTTTAGTATCCTCCCTGTGACTCTTCTTAACAAGGGAAATAAAACCTTAAGGATTTTGGAAGAGCCCCCTGCTAGCGCACGTATTACATGTTGGAGATGGTTTATTTCTGGAAGTGCTTCTACTAAATAAAACACTGTCCCCAGTTAAGTTCCACATACACTTTTCTCAGCTGCACTTTAAGCATGTTTCCAAAAATAAACTCTCTGGAATATGTATGACAGTCTCTCTGCTCAGGGGGCTCTTCGGAAGGGATAACAACTGGATTTTACAGAAGAATCCCCTGCTAGAGAATGTTCTGCATGTTCAAGATGGTTTGTTTTTGGAACGCTGCCCATATTTAATAGCTTCCAATGCACCAGTCAGCCTGGGTGGAGCACAAGAACAGCGCTGACCTTGCAGTTATTATTAACAGAAGACCAGTGTTGCTAACAGTGGCTGAATAATGAGAACGCCAATCAGCATCCCACCAGAAAGCATCTAGGAAAAAGAGATTATTGAGGAGGAGGCTGTAGTCCAATACTGGTCCAGGTGGCCAAAAGAGTGCTTACAGAGAACAGTCCCACTAAATTTGAAAAGGAATTCAAACAACTGTCCGGGCGAAGAGCAGCGCTTACCTCTTTTGCCCGGTTACCCTCTCCAAGCAGAGACCCTTCAGGTTCTCCGAAGGGGGCACTTGCCGAGGTGCTGCAGGCGGGCAGGCTCGGCGGCTTGGCCCTTGCGGCAGGCGTGCTGCGCGTGGCGAGCGGGACACGGTGCCGCAGCGAGGGCCGGTGGTGGCCGGCGCTGCCCTCCTGGCGCTACTGCGACTGCTTCACGAGGCGGAAGGCTTCGAGGAACTCGTTGAAGTCGATGTTGCCATCCTTGTTGAAATCGATGCTGCGCACTAAGTCACTGATGCCATCGTCCGTGAGCTCAATGTTCATGTGGGAGCTGAACAGCTTCCAGGTCTGGTGAAATTCCTCAAACGAGATGAGGCCTAGGATGGGGAAGAAGGCCCATCAGTGCCAGGCTCCCGGCCCATCGCACAAGCAGCAACTTCTGTTCACGTTCAACGTGCCAGCCCGTGCCCACTGCCTGCAGACCCGGACTGAGGGAAATCACTCATTCGCATCTACCTTTCAGGTGCTGCACCTGAACTGCCTCATGAGAAGAGCAATGGGTAATGTACAACTGAAAACTGGCGAGCAGCAAAGGGCCAGCGTGTCGTCTGGGAGAGCAATGGAAGGCCAAGACAACAGTGTTTCCTTTCCCAAAGTGGTTGGTAGATGGCTGCTCATTTTCAGCTAATACTCAGATCCCAGCCCATAACTGCATTTTCCCATACCCATTTTTTCCTTTTAGTAAATTCCTCCAGAACAACTAACTACAACTCTTTGCCCTGGTCACACATGTTCCTTGGAAAGGCCTCTCATTTGTGGGAACGTGCCATGACATTTCCAAAGCGTGCAAAGGAGTATCACCTTAAACCATTACAAAAAATGCATTAGTATATAATAACGGGAGCCCTAAAGAAGAAAGGAACAGAAGAGGTTGACCCAAGAGCCCCATGCGCCCCCTCTTACCTGAGTGATCCCTGTCTATGATCCTGAATATGGTCTCCAAGTTGGATCTGTTCCGATAAATGACTTCCAGCAGGCCCGACTGGATGTGCTGCAAGAGAACACGGTCACGTTCCATCTCTAGCTCCCCCCTACCACCCCAGAGCTCCGTGTGTCTGCGCAGCTACCGTGCGCTTGGCCCCATGCAGCTGCCCCGCGCTGCGCTGTGGCAGCAGGGCCCGCATAGAGCGGCCCTCACCTCCCGGCTGCGCTGCTCCATAGCCAGGTCCTCGAGCCAGGACTGGTACTCGAGGGTGCCGTCGGCCGCGCTGCGCACCAGCTGCGGGCGCAGCATCCGCCAGGGCAAGCCCAGGCGCAGGACCGACTCCACCGCCGTCGCCCAGGTGCTCAGTGTGATCCTCCCTGCAAGGCAAAGGGAGGCCCTTGGAGACCTCCGAGGGGTGGGCGGCCGAAAGCACACTAGGCCAAGTGGCACGTGGCTTCTTCCGGGCCACCTGCTCCCTGCTTAGCTGGTGGAGCCATGGGACAGCGACACGACAGAGACATTTAACAACCCTCCGCTGAAGGCGGAGGCTGAGAGCGCAGCACAAGCACGCGCCCCAGCTCCGTGGGCTGACGCGCTTCAACCTCTGTGGCACAGCTGAGTACTGGTCAGAGGAGGAGGCCCTGCCGTGTCACGGTAGGACACGAGCACTTGCTGCTCCCCCTGACCTGCAGGAAGCTCTTTATTGCTGCAATAAATCCGGGCAGCGGCGTTGCAAACCTCCAAACACCGAGAAAGAGCAGGATGACGCTAACTTGTTTTTTTTCCCCCCCACTACAATTCTGTGGCCTATGGCCAGGCCTGCCCTGCAGGCTGTTACCCTCACAACGGGTTAGCAGTTTGTTTCAGAGAATAGGAACCTGGAAAAGCCCCTATGAAAACAGCTGCTCTACCGGCAAACACAGACTTCTGCAAGGGACGGGACGGGCACACGGACGCACTCCTGCTGGGTGCTGTTTCCCCCCCTTGGCTGGGTCTTGGTAGGAGACACCTACGTCGCTGCCTGAGCAGAGCACTCGTGGCAGAGCACTCCTACAGAAGCAGCCCAGGAATTACAAACTCACAGCCCCCTCCTTAAGGCCCTGACAGAGGCAGCTCCTGCTGGGGCTATCAGCCCCCTTGCTCTGTGTGTGCCATCCGTCTTGGACTCGGTGGCTGAAGGGGCTCAAGAGACTAAGCAGCCTTCCCCGAGAGACATGACCGCAGCCTTGCTGGTTGCCTTCCCTTGCGCTTTACCAATAACCCTGTTCCGAATGTTTTCCTAACAATTTCCTAATTGTTAAAAAATGGAGCCAAATGCCTCTGGTTTTTCGTCCTGACCCCTTCATCATCACAGCACCCCTCTGAGGCATTAACAGGTTCCTAGCAGAGACACCGAATAGCAGCAGACAGGACCAGAGCTCTGACCAGGTCGGACGCGGCCTGCTCATGATGGAACAGCTTGTGCTTGCGTGAGGAGCCTCCCCAGCAGCCACTCACCCAGCTCCTCACCCAGCCCAGAGCCACCAGGGAACTGCCTGGGGTCTGTCCTGCCTCAGATTTACCTGTACCCTCCTTATCGTAGGCCTTGAATGCGCTGCTGAGGGCTGACGTGTGAGCAAAGAGCTTCTCCCGCAGGGCTCGGAAAGCCGACTCCTCCACGCGGCTGATTCTGGAGGATGCAGCAAGGTGGAGAAATACCTCAGGGCTCAGCACAGCCTGCCCAAGTCACCACCCTTCCCCACTCCTCTGTCTTGCCCCACGCTGTCCGCACGCTCGCACAACAGCCCTGCACTGCCCGACTGAATCATGGCACTGCAGCAAGCGCTGCAGACCCCTCGCCCAGACGAGTTGGCAGCAACAAGCTCAGGGCCAGGGAGGAACGCTGCATCTTGCCAACTTCCACTGCTGGTTTTACCCATAGTTGGTTCACTTCTGTAATACCAGTGGCAGAGTGGCAGGCTTTTGCTAAATCTGCGACTTGGGATGAAGGGAAAAGGAGCTTCAGCAAGCATCAAAAGTTAGAATTCTACACTGAAAAGCCGGAAAACAACAGACTAACCTACAACCCTCTTCCAAGCTGGCAACCCTCCCTCCCCACCCCCTGAAACCTTCCTCAGAGAACACAGGACAGCCTTGCCTTTGAGTCATGGTGAGAGTGTGGGCTGTCTTGTTCGCCTGGTACTGAACAAAGTGGGGGACCAGGTCCGGCCCCAGCTTCACGTAGGCTCCCCTGTTGCTGCCAATCTCATAATAGTTTGAGGCTGAAAAGATGGTCAGAACCTAATGCAAAAAAGGACAGGCATTTATAACCATATATGCACCTATATACATATGCTCCTCTTGGCAAGGTGGAAAGCCAAGAATCCCGAACGCATCCTCCCTACCGACCTTCCGGTTGTGGCAGAACTCATAGCCCTCTTGCTTGCACTCGTGGGAACGGATAAGGAACTGCAAGCTGTACTTCTTGAGGATCTTCTCGGTCACGTCAGGACCGAAGTAGCAGCCACCACCTCGCACAGTATTCTCTCTGCAGCCCTCCTGAGGCATAGGGTCGCTCCAGAGAATGTCTAGGATCTGCAAGGATCGGAAAGACTCGCTGCCGAATATGGGCCGCGCGGCCATGCGGCACGGGAGCAGCCATCCATCGCCTGTCCGTGTTCGCCAAGCAACTACAGCACTGCACCGTGGGGAAACAGCGATGTGTCCATCCACACCAGCCTCCCGCCCTGCCGTGCAGGGCTGCGCTCACCAGAGCCCTCACTGAGGGGCAAGGCTGTTGGCCTTGAACTACATGTACATCCAGAGCATCTGTGGGCACGGGGGTAGGCACAAGCAAGGCCTCAAAGAGGCCTTCCCTCGGCTCCCTCTAGACTTCCAAGAGCCTTTCCTGTCCTCCTCCAGCCCAAAACACAGGACTCAGAGCAAGAACCGCTGGCAGATCCTAGGACCAAGACCGTGTTCACCATTAAACTGATTTGCTCTCTGTCCAGGACACTCAGCGGTCTCCAGTAACACAAGTGCTGACTCAGTAGCCACTATTTGGATTAACCATAATCTCTTTGACCTCGACCTCAATATGCAGCTTTACCTCGCTAAGGTGTGCGCTGCATCGGGTTGTCATATGTAACATGAGGTAGGGAACAGCTCTTTCACAGCTCACAGCACAGGTTCACAAACAAACTGGTCTAACAAAACCAGGAAATGATGTTCCCAGGCTCTGACCTCCCCAGCAGTTTATTTGCAGGAAGTGGCTAAAAATGCAAACTCCATCTGCTCTTAAGTATTCCAAATCATGACTCCTTCATCAGTGAATGACAAGCTCTTTAATTAGCTGCATGGCTGACTGTAGGTACCCCATATACTCAGTGGGTGACTTCATCACTGGATTCTACAGCCAGGCTCCTTCCGTATTTCCCTCCCTTGCTGAGAGCCACGAAAACCTGTGACCCAGGCGACGCGAGAGCAGCAGGTTTGGGGACAAAGCCCTGAGCTCTGCAAGTACAAAAAGCAGTGGAGAGGCTGACCTGAGAGGGTAGGAGAAAGCCCAGCAAAAGAGGAGACAACGCGACTCTCGCACACAGCCAGAGCTCACAGCTCAGGGCTGAATGCCTCCTTAAGTCCGTTCTACAGGGGAGCAAAACCCCCTTTGCCAAGAGGGCCACAAACATATTATATCTCAAGATTCCTGATACGAGCAGAGAGAACGAGGCTACAGGAAGCACCCACAGCTCACGGAGGCCAGGGCCTCGCTCACACTACTCACCTGCTTCCACTCCTCTTGGCGAGTCCAGCACGGTGCATCCAGGTCAGTCATGGAGACAAGGCTGGAATAGGTGAGCTCCTCCTCCTCCGACTCGCTCACGTCCACGAGCCGGCGGCACCGCTCGATTTGCTCCTGCACCGTCTGCCGCACCCACCTGGAGAACTCCAGCCTGTTGGCCATGCTGGGAGCCTGCGCTGCCCGGGACTGCGGGCACGCACTGGCTGCTCCATCTTGCTCTGCTGGGGAGGCCTGCGCTTTGTCCTCCCCGTTTATTTCCTGTATTTCCACGTTTCTATTCGACTCCTTTCTCTTCTTCCCTCTCAACACAGAAATAAACTGAAAGAGATAAGAGAGAAAAACGAGCAGGTCATAGCTTGGAAACCTAAGACTCCAACTCAAACATCTTCCAGGGGCATCTTTCAATTTAGCCGTGCCCCAAGCCTCAAATTCTCTCCCCAACATCGGATGCTGATTAATCATGCAAGGTTATTAGAGCAGCCTTCTTGGATGGACCATTCTTGCTCTGAAGCCAGTCCCACATGCCTCCTGACCACACATCATCTTTTATTCATTGATTTTATGCTGCTCAGATACTTCACAGAAGTTTGATCGCACAGATTGTGTCTGTGCCCTCAGCTATAAGGCTTATGTCTTTTAAAAGATAAGCAAGTTTCTTCCCTCTCTATACACCTTATTGAATCAAAACTATCCACTCCAACCCTGTATCCAGATACACTTTGGCTAATAAGAACTACTTGGATTTTTGTCTTGTCTTCAGCCAAGTTGAAATGAAGAAACAAACTCGCCCCAAAACAAATCAGCAAGACACTCGTGTCTGGGAGAATCTAGAAGAGAACACCTACTTTGTGCCTTTGAATTTTCTCAAGCATGTCCAGATCAGTGGTATCAGAGATGCCACCGTGTATAATCAGGACCTTCTCATCAATGAGGGTGGCCAAGGGTAGCCAGCAGAAGACATTCTGTATCATCTTCAAGATTTTCCTTCCATGCACCTAGCAGAACAGGACAGAAAGGAAAAGGTGAAGCAGGAGCCTGCAAAGGGCGTGCGCCACGTGCTGGAGGCAGACACACAAACATGTGCCTACCTTGTACTTCTGCATGACTTCCTTGGTGAAACCGTAGCTAAACAAACAAGAGAAAGGAGGGTTAGTTGTGTTTTGCTGTGGCTCCCTAACACTGCACAGCAGCCCGCACTGCGCCCGTACCGTAAATTGACCATGTGGTCCTCATGGTTTCCTCGGTTGAGATGAACCTCATTGGGATAGACCAAGAGGAAGGTAAAGAGGACAATGAGGATCTCCAGGGACTGTTTGCCTCTGTCTACGAAGTCTCCATTGAACACGTAGGTCTTAGAAGGGGAAGGAAGGCCATTCTGTGAAACCAAGAAACGGGTGGATGTTACAAGAGAGGCCTTCCCACGATACTGCCCCAAACACATGCAGCCCTGGATTGCAACAGCACCCGTCTACATGCAGCACCCCTCTAGCTACACACCCTCTCAGCTCTGTCCCAGTTTATGCTATATGATACATCCTGTCCAGCTTTTTAACCCTGCAGGCTCACACTGGCAAAGGCACTGATATAAGAAAACTGCCATGCAGGAAAGGGTACTAGCACTTACAACAAAGCATGCACTGGCACTTCTCAAACGTGCAGTACCATGACCACGGCTCTAACAGGCTGTAAAAGCCACCGAGAAAATAAGCTTCGGCTTTGTGAAGCACTTGAAAACCAATCAAACTGAACTAGAAAATTAAGCTTCGAGCGCCGGTCCTGCAAGATACTTCCCAGCGTGACCCATGCAACACCTCCCAAGTCAGGCCAGCCTCCCTCTCACTGAAAACAATGATGCCTACCTTATAAAATATGAGGAACAAGTCATCCAGCTGGCCATGCAAGTCTCCTAACAGGAATAAAAATGCGTATCACAATATGTTTAGCCACCTCATTGGTATTTAACGTAGAAATAAATACTTTTAACTTGAAAAAATACCCACAAAGTAACTTCCTACAAAGTATCTTCTCTATCAATTAATGACCACTGAAACACTTTGTGAATTTTAAGGTGCAAATTTCCCTATGCTGAGGAAATGTATCCAGAGAAAAAGGGTATGGAGCAAAGGCTCCATGTGAAGCCTGACAAAGACAACAGAAGATCTGTATCAGCTTCTGAAGACTCCGAATTACAAGCTTAGCCCTCTTCCCTCTCTAGTTCAATGCAGGACAAGATGGCACAACGAACTGTTTTACCTCTAGTGCTACATTGGAGAAGGGTTTGCATAGAAAACACACAATAATCTAATCCAATGAAGTTTTACTTCATTTGACATGATTCCACAGTGAGTTTTTTTTTCCTCAAGGCCACCTGCACGCAAACATTCTGGGCAAATTTAGTATTTTGCAGAAAAATATCCAAGTGAAAACGGTGCAGGAAATCAATGCTGAAAAGCTTTGTCTCCTTCAGACATGCTTCACAGATGACTTAGTGTGAGACACAGTCCCTCAGCTTCACCTGGGCAGCGTTTCAAATACAGGACCTTCACGTAACCCTGGATATTTTACAGGCAGCCCCAATTCCCTCTTGCACAAAGCGTGTTTTGCATACGGATTAAGTGCATTTGTGTGTCACATTCAGCACCGCGTGGTGCCCACGCTCCCGTTTCACAGCATGTGAACCCCTCAGCAGAACCCCTTCCACTTGACTGTCCCCTCCCACCCCGACTCACCACACACGGTGACCTCCTCGCTGTAGCAGGTGGAGACGTGACTGATGTTTGGCAACTGCTTGAGGTGTTTCCTGGTCTCATGCAGGAGGTTTAAGACATAGCGAGCATGAAGCTGCTACTAGGAGAAAGTGAAGGAATTAGGGCAGGAAACCAGCGACCACTGAGCAGCCACATGGCTGTCTTCACAGGCCCCATGGACTCACAGACGTCGCTGTGATAGCCCGGATGGCAACGTGAATGGCATTCAAGGGCAGCCATGTTCAGTGCTAGCAATAGAATGAATGCAGTGATCCTGGGTGTCTTATAACTTTTCACTATTCTCCTGATTTTAAGCAAAACTCTCCATATTGAAACAGCAAGTGCAGCCTTTGAAAGACAGCTGGGCCCACGTGTCACTCCTCACAACTGTCAGCATTGACCTATGTGCCTACAAACTGGATAAGACGAGTAACATGCAACTGCACCAGAGAAAAGTCTAGCCCAAAGCGCCCCAACCTTGGCCAGTGGCACAGCTAGCAATAGAGTCCAAACCGCTCAGTGTACCCTCCTGCCCCAGCGTAGCCCAAGCTCTGTCTACTGCACAACGGTACTCCTGACACAGTTCAAATTCCACCCTGATATCAAACATAAGATGAAGCTAATCCTCTAGATTTTCCTTCTCCACATTAAGCCAGGCGCTGAGGTGCAGTGTGTCCTAGAAAATAGGTGCACTTGAAGCCAAGGAGAAAGCATTCAGCATCAGTCAAGATTACAGGTAATTGCTTTGGAACTGTTTCTTATTTGGGGAGGGGATGTTATGCCCTAATTTGCTGTTCAGCAAATTGAATTTGCTGGGAAGTCTAACAACAAATTACTGAATATCCATTCTATTTTCAATTTGCCATCACCACACATACAGAGCGAGGGCCAAAATCTCATACTGAATTCCAGCAGACGAGTTTTTCAAATAGCCACCCTCACTAACTGGCACAAAAGGATTTCACATACATTACTGAAAAGCACAGATGGAGTCCATCACATGCCAAAGTCTAAAAAACACCCACTTGACATTCTTGGTGCAGGGAGAGGACCCAGCCAATTTTCTTTCTCCTCCTCATGTGTCCCCTGGGTAGGGAGAAAGGGGAAGTATGGTTACTTTTGGGATCCTTACTTGCTTCTGTTTGAAAGCTTCCAATAAGGCAGTTGCATGGTCAGGAAGGAGTGGGAAGGAGAGACGGGGTCCAACGTAGGAGTCTGGCACCTCCATGGACTCATAGTCACAGTACTTTTCCAGTTCTGCTTCTTTGACACTTTCCCCACTTATGAGCATGCGACTGATGAAATCTCCTGGACAGTCAATGGGTTGGTTGATTTTTAAGAGAAAGAAACAAGAGAAAAGCTGATTTGGTTCAGTACATCTTTGCTGTCTGCTGAAGAAAAGCTGTTTGCTTAGGCTAAAGCTCACGTGCAACAGCAGCAGTGGAGGGCAGCTCCCAATTCAATGCTGCTGTAGCATTTGCTGCAGGCAAAAGGCGACAGGGCCTGGATTCACCCAAAGGTCAGTGTGTCCTATGTGAAGCAGTGCTGGCACTTACAGCAGCTACAGCAACACTTGGACAGAATCACATGCAAGCTGACTGCCATGGCTAAGTGAAATCTTATCTACAATAACATGCAAAAACAAACAGTTCAGCAAGGAATTGTCCCCTAAGTCACACTCGATTTTCAATGCAGTCTTGTATCTACATTCCCAGTGCTGTATAAAATTTGTGTAAAGACATTTATTTTTTTCAGTAACGGGCAAAAAATACCCACGGTTTCAAGGAGCTTTGCTGTAAAATATATTGGGTGATGGGGAGAAAAAGGGGGAAGCTTGAAAGGAAAGAATAAGCACTTGAGCAGGTTCACATCAGCAGTATGAACAGTTAATACCCACAAGTTTCCATTATATTTCAGAATGACCTTCCTTAGGCTTACAGCATTAAGAACCAACATATAATGCTGTCTGCAGACTCAGGAAGATACCGTACTGGTTCTCACTGCATTTTTCCCACCACAATCATCAATGAGAGACTCAGTATAAAAAAACAGATATCAGGGAGCATGACTCCATAACGATGGATTTTCTAGTTTCAGAAACAGACTCTCCAGTAGCCTGGTCATCATGGATTACTGAAGAAAGGCAGGTTTCTGCTACTGCTTTTACAAAGCATAGCAAGCCTTTATTCTCCCTTCTGGCTCCTCAGGAGTAGAATTGCTCCACATCCTTCAGATGGTCCTAACAGTCTCTAGATAATTCACTCCCTATCCAAATTCCCGAGCAACACCTCATGAGGGCCCCTTAGCAAGCATCAAAGGCCAGCAAAGAGCCACGAATCAAGACAGGGTACAGTATTTATGTGCCATATCTACAAAAGGCATGTGGAAGCTTACGCTCTTTACTGCTGCTTGGTGTGAAGCGGTCCATGAGGTAACTGAAGAAGTTGTGAAGCTGCAAGAAGACAGAGAGAGCGCGCTAAAATAAAACAAACCAACTAGGCTTTATTTCATGTTCTTCAGAAAAGGACTGTGGTATTAAATGTGCTTGGTGGCTTTATTTCATGATTCACTGCTTGTGCATTCAGCATGCACAAGCAGACAAGAAAGCAAAAGGCAAAAAAAGGAGACAGGTCTTGAGTTATAAGACAGTCCTCGGCCCACAGAGGCACGTGGCACTTACAGGATTATCAGCCCATACTCGGAACCAAATGAGTCATTGGTTCAGAAAGGATCTTCCTTTTGAGGATCCAAAGAAGTGACCCAGCCAAGGGCAGGCTGGCACTCCCCTACAGGCCACAGAGAACAAACTCCAAAAGACAGAGAATTGCTTGTTAAAAAAAAATAAATAAAAGCCCACTCTAAATTTATAATAAAATGGTGGAAAAAAAATAAAGAAAAAAAGTAAAATCCTCAACACATGGAGATTATCCAGCTTCCCTAATACACAATGCACTTTGCTTGCCAGACTGCTCTGCTACTCTATTCCCATCCACAGTGGGCACTGGGATCTCTCTTGACTCTTTTCTCCTTTGACAGCAACCGTCTATGCAGGCTGCTGGATACAGTCCATTTCTTGTGCTCCGTAAACCGTACAGCATCCTAAAGGACACAGCTACATATTGCACTCTCAGAGAGAAAGCTGCCCCTGCTTCTGCCACAGAATGCAGTTCCAGCACACAGAGATTGCTTCCAGGCGCAAATCAGGAATTAAACTCAGTCATTACTGAACTGCAACACAAGGGAGATGTCTTCCTACATATTCCTACCTCTGGTGCCTTACCTTGATCTGATCCTGCTCGCAGGCATACTCAATGGATTGGAATATTCGCCAGGTGCACCGCCGGCGCATTTCCAGCCGAGCAACGTAGCGCCGATACCACCTTTGGATCAAGACGGCTGCCTTGAAAGCTAGGGCACAAAAACGGAAACGACATGCTGAGCTGCAGCTGCTGTCCCAACTGAGGCACTCCCCCTTGTCCCTTTACTGGTTCCAGAAATTAAAGACCTTTCTCATTTACGAACAATTCTGCATGAAAGATGTTCTGAAGCCTAAATATTCAAGATAGCAAAACAATCACTTCTCTTTACCGTGCTCTAAGAAGTAAACTGACCTTGCAGGACCAGAGACCTCCACAGAGCTGCTCAGTGCCACCACAGCCAGCTCCTCAGTACCACAGAACAACAACTTCTTGATATATTCAGGCCCAGCTACATTCTTTATTATTAAGAGACCATTTAATCACTTTCTCTCTGCCTTCATCATTATCGTGTCCCACCTCACAGTCTAGGAACTGGGGCTTCAGGAAACAGGCAACAAGACATCAAGATCCCTTCCAGAATCTTAAAAAGATGGGGTTTGTCTAACTTGCTTTAAGCTAAGACGAATCAAACACAAGCACTGAGAACAGGGAAATGGATCTTCAGCCACTGAGTGATGTAGAAGGAACAAAACCCTGGGAATTTCCACATCCCTAGTGGCTGTTCAATCCACAGCCCACACTGGCATCAGATTCTTCCTTAAAATGATGGCCACTTCCACCGCTATTTATAACCTAACCATCCCTCTGCATTTCCCCAGTCCCAGGGGTTGTCATTAGAACATCATTTCAGATGGCGTGCGTGTACATTTAAAGTGGAGTGCACTGGTGCAGTTCCCTAATCCTTTTTCGCTTTCTGCCACAGAACTGTACGTATCTCTAAAAACTCTTCTATCCTCCTAAACTGGCTGTGGCCCATTTTTAAAGGCCTGGTTACCTTAGCCCACCTTGCTAGCCAGCTCTGCTACTTGACAGCTTTTCCCCCTTTTCTTTTGTGTCCCTTTCTGCTCATTTCTGGAGTCCTACTTCAGAGACTTCAGCTTAAAACTTTTTCTATCAATGCTTCTCTCTGTCATCTTCAACTGAGGAGGGGATATCTGTTTTATCTACAGGCTGACTGGCCCCCAAACCAAGTGCATGGAACACAGTTAGAGTTAGCCCAGTTGAAGAACTCGGTACTGCTTTGGTAGAGTTTGGCATCTGGTTCTTGGGAGATCGCTGTTCTGTCCACCAGAGTATGGAGAGTAATAAGCTATGTAGGGTGGAAGGGTTTTATAGAAATGAAAGGGAAAAAGAAAACACTGAAAACTGCTAAGCACAGGCAGAAGACAAACCGATCAGTTTAATTCAATTACTTTATATTATATAACATAAACCACCCACCCACATACTTCAGCAGGAAATACTACTTGACCTTTACTTAGAAGAGATATCCTGATGGCTTATGTGTTGAAACTAATAATCCGTCTAAATTATGTTACCAAAACACAACTGGAAGCTACAGCTGCTTTTCCTACATCTATTTAGAGGCAGCTGGTGCTCCCAAGAGCTCACACTTGAAATGGACAGCGTGAAAAGGGAAAAAGCTATTGCTGTTTTACAAATGGGGAGCTAAGCACCGGTAAAGTCTTCGGTAAGAAGGTAAGACTCAAGCTATTCATACCGCTTTTAACCTATGTACCTCGCACCTTCGTGCAAGTGTTTTGTGATCTGCTGGGCCGTAAAAAAAAGAAAAAAAAATAATTTTTCTTTCTGCAGTTTGGCACTTCTGATATTGCCTCCTCAACCCACAAGCAGAACAGACCCAACACTAGCTGCCTCATTTCCTGTGCAGCAATTCGGCTGAGACCTAACCAAAATCACAGCACAAATCACTGCCTAAAAGACACAGCTTCTTATCGTGTCACATCCTTTAATAATCAACACCATGTCCAATTACTGCAATAGGATTCACACGTTCTTAACCTGATCCCTGGTGGAAATTTATAGTTACATCTCCACATACACCAGTGAAATCCAAACCCTTTGAAATATTAAAACTATGAAAACTCCATTATCAAGTACAATGAGTACCTATATCACCATCCACATCATTTCAAGTTTCAGATGAGCAAGCCACTATTTTCTTATGCTACTTTTAAACAGAAACTGCAACTGGAAAAGCCAGGTATTTTAATTTACCAGCTTACCTGGGTGAGTTGCATCTGGCAGTGTTTGTACTATTTCAGGAAAAAAAATAATAAAAAAGGAAAAGAAACAGATTTATCCACATTCCAGGGATCCAAGCAGTAAACGAATCATACATTATTGCACAAGCCACTGAAAGCATGCCAAAGTGGCAGAATTTTGAATAAAGTCAGCCAATTTATGTTAGGAATGTAGTTTGGAAAACAAATCATCTGTGAAAAAAATACTGCCTTTTTTTTTTCCCCTGAAAGAGCCAATAATCAAATCAATTCCCTAAAAGTGGGTATTCCAAGACAATTCTTTCAGGTCTGTGGCATGGTTGAGTGCCAGCAGAGTAAGATTCCCTGAGAAGGACACGCCAGAAATACAAGTAGATGGCTAGAGGATCATTTTAATAACAGCTTAATCAAACCGGAAAGCCTATTCTAAGATTAGCTTTTTTGAACTATGAAATTTTAAGGAGAGAAAATACAAGCTAAGAAGCATGTCTTGGTACACTTTAAACTGACATAAGCAGAACAAGTTCTACCCAATATCCATATTTTCTCCAATTAAGAGTTAACTAATTAAGCTGCACATCTCCATCAGCTCTGTCACCTGATACCAGCTGAGGGTCTGACCCACTCCTAAGCAACTCCATATTTGCAGATGAACATTTCTAAAAGATTTTGAAAGGAATGTAGAAATTCACTGAGATTTTACAGCCATGAGAAATTTTTGATAAGGTATCAGGGTCTCTTGCACAGTCTCTAACACGTAACTAGTTCTCCATTATGTTTTATTTTTTATGGACAAGCTCCTGCACAGTCATCAAGCAGTCCTGAACTTGCTGGAAACATCCTTGCTTGCCTAGTGCTAAAACCAGTAGAAAAACCTCTGACTTGTCTAAACAAAAGTTGGAGTTTCTTGACAAACGTTACAAACGAACAATGCTGAAGCACAATATTCCCATTCTCTTAATTTCTAAGTAAGGTGGTTGTTTCTGATTTTGAGGCAATTGCAAACAGTTTGTACCATACTGCTGGACTGCCAGTGTACGTGACTATAGGAAACAATAAAGTTATTTCCTTTTTTACACTTCCTAATGCATAAAGTCTCAGTGACAGGCACCGTTTGGCCCACAGCAGACCAGAATACACACACATATATATGGAACTGGTATTATCATACAGAGAGTTGCATAAAAATGAATGATTACTTGGAGGACTCATAGACAAGCCTAGCTTATGAGCACAGATAAGGACCTTGTACTGACCTATTAACATAAAAAAGGGCACATATCCTGTATTTTCAGCTTTTCTAGCCACGATATCTTACCTGCTACAGAACCAGCTTTTTCTGGCTTTAGTAATGCTAATGCTTTACCAGTCCTGTATCTCTAAAACATTCCATAATATCAAGTCCAGCAGAAGCACCAGGATGGTATTTTCTATCTGTCAGAACATGGGGTTGTAACACACATACGGGAGTCTGCAACAGAATCACTCATCTGGTGTCAATTCCAACAAAATGGCTTTTTGCTGCTTCGTTTCCACAGAGGTTTTGAATGAGTTTAAATAGATTCTAAATAGCTGTTATTTTCTCAAGCCTAGTATTGATTTTCAGTATGACAGCTGAGATTGCTCTTCAGAAGATCTTCAAAAACATAACCTATGCCTCAATACTCTGAAGAAAATTAGGCCATTCTGGAAAATATATCCACCACAACTTTCCAAGTGGATGTACACCCCCAAGTGAGGAAAAGATTCCATTTCAAAGAATCACTCACCGTTTTCAGATTTCTGCAGGGAGTACTTGAAGTTGGCATTTACAGAAGTACCAGATCCCATGTTCTCCAGCCAATACTCCTAGGATTGTAGACTGCTGCCGACAGACCCAGTATCACCAAAACCATGCAACAGATGCAGGAAAGTGCGTTCGGTCAGGATCAAACCAGCTGCAATATGTCCCGCAATCCTGGAAGTCTATAATTAAAGATATTAACATATTAACATTAAGATCACCAAGCAGATGGCCTGACTTGTGCACAAGTACATCTGCTACTACTAAGTTTTCCCCTCCTGTGCTGTCTTCTAGGCTATCTGATAGTGCAACTTCTGTCTTAGTCCTTCAAATTTCAAGTCAGCCAGGAGAACAGTAATAATCACAGCACCTTGGCTAGTACATATAAACATCACAGACTGCATATTTAGGTATTGTAGCTGAAACATAAAATGTATAAACCAGGCATTCCTGTACTCTTAAGAGTGCTTCACATGTGTGATTTTAGGCTCCTGGACCTAAACTCTCAGTAACAGGGCAGTGTGGTAACCTTCATTTCAAAGGCTGGACTCGAGTTAAGATCAATTCAGACTAGGGGTGTGGGGGAAAATCTTAATGGGATACTCACATTTTCAGACTGGTGAGGAAAGAAAAATCTGTATGCAGATAAATTGTAAGACATGCTCTGAGCATCTCCCCATTTCCTTACCTCCCCCCTTCCTCATATGCAAATGAAGAGACCAGATGAAGTAAAAGATGCTTAATTATTGCACATGATTGGATGTTGGAGGCACTCACACACTATCTAGAAAAAAAAATCATGTCTTGCAATATTAATCTGCAACATCCAACATGACTGGATGTTGGAGGTACTCACACACTCTCTAGAAAAAAAAATGTGTTGTAATACTAATCTGGAAGCAAAAATGTTATTAAGTGACTTGATTTAAAGGCATTTCAAGATTTGCAGACAAATATGCAAGCAGAGATCCCCTATGAAGGGTAACTCTAATTATGAGGGATGAACACACAGATGGTATTTAAATCTATTTGCGGTTCCACAGCTGGAGTCTAAAATAACAATTAGCTGTCATAAGAAAATAATCAGCTTTGTTAAATGAATACTGCTCTTCTTCACCTCGCAGATCTGCTTGAGCGTGGGGGTGTATTATACCAGCAATCGGTTGCTCAGACCCTTTCCAGCATAAAAAGGGCAGGACTACTAGACTTCTTTCTATCTCACTTGCAGGGACTGTCTACCCAGAGCAAACGGAGGTAAGAACGAACTAGCACTCTCCTCCTTTCACTCTCAGTCACATTTCCTTTGGGAAAAAAACACAGAAACAACACAAAGCACCATGAACCACTGCCAGAGCAGTCCCAAGCTGTATCACATGGTAACTGGAGTGAGAGAAAGGCTGAGAAAAGAAGGTAAAAACCCGTTTATGAAAACTAGGTCATGCTGACAGCATCTAAGAATTTTAAATGGTCAAGAGAAAGGGACTGCAAGGGCACTTTTTCTAAACAACAGAGGATAAACAGCCCTGCTCCTCCTTTTCCCACCTCCTGCAACTTGCCTACTGCAATCTCATTTCCCCTATCTCACACCTTTCTGAGAACAAATGCTAATAGAAGGAATATGACCTTCCATTATGATGTAAGTACGTGATATATACTGCATAAGATTACATACGCATGTTGTTTGTGCAGGAAGATAATCCATTTTGATCTTGTGAAACGATAGAACTGTAAAAATATGGAATATAAAATCCAGTATTTAACATTACTGGATTAACACTAAATTTAAATACGAAAAAAGTCCAAAATCAGAGTTTGTCTATGGCAGCAGATAAGAGCAGTTCACCTGAAAATTGTGTGCTCACTGCAGAAAATACAGGGTGAAATACTCATCACAGTCCTGATCCTGGCAAACCATTAAAAAAAAACATTTCAAACTGAGAGGTGCAGAAACTGAGCGCCTGCAGGAGGAAACGACTTGTCTGGCTCACCTTGCACAGGAAGCACAAAGCTAGTCAGAGTGTTCAGCTGGATGGAGACCCTGCTAAATAACATTTCAGACTGATAAGTTTCTAAGTAGGATGAAAAGCTGAAATTCTCTATTGTGCCCAGAAAGCTGAAGTGCACAGTGGCATCTTCATACTAACCAGATGAAGCAACACAATACTTGGTAATGCTTCCAATAAGGTACCAGTCTCTGTAGATTTTATTCACTATTGCATTTTAATTTATTATCCATTGTTTCATTTCAATGAAGACTAAAAATGTCATGAAGCCACTGCTGAATTATGCCCAAGAACTACATTTGGTAGATTATGCTCCTCATTCTTAATGATGCATGTACTCTGACTGCTTTCCAAGTAAGTACATACCCAAAAGGACAACCACACACAAAAATCAGAATACCCAGCATTTAAGGCTCCTGTGTGTTCGCTCCAGCCCAAGACAAATCTCATTTCAGGAAAAAACTTATGAATTTTCAAGTCAAGAATTTCCAGGTTGGCTTATAAATCCACATTTGAATATCCAAGTAAAAGTAGCATTCCAAAGACAGAATGATAACTGTTTCAACAAGTATTAGTTATCCAGCGAAGCAAGTATGTGAATGAGTATTACCTCGTACGAGCAGAGCATTTTGGAAACAAACGTGCCCAGTCACCTCTACTTACTGCATCCTGGTATACATGGAGGCAACAGATACCTCTCAGAAGAAGTGATGCCAAAGATGCACGCCACATAGTAATGAAAGTTCAGCTCATGGGACCAGACCCATGGAAAAAAAATATGAAACATGGGTACACACATTACATCTGTATCTTTAGTATCAAGTTCATCAATAGCATTACTGTTTTTAATGAAAGCCTGCAGCTTTTCAGAAGAGAAGAGCACATTTAATGAACATTTTATAACACAGCCAGGAGAAAAAAAATCCTTTTTTCAGGACCTGCAACACTGTTAGATCATGCCCAAAAAAGGAAAAACACATTTTAAGCAAATACTGAAGAACAGAGTCAGGTATCTGGCTTGCCTAGGACGTGCTCACAAGTACCGCCTCTTTTGATAAGATGTGATCTTAGGTTTTTTTTTAAGACAGAAATTTCAACATCTCTCTGAAACCAACTTTGGATGCACAGAATAAAACTTGACCTCGTTTCCCTTGCCACTCAAATATACGCTCGCGTTTGTTCATTTTTCACAGCCCTATTTTAAACACAAATTGCAGCAGTGCGGACATAGGTATGGCCAGTACTAATGTGCAACGGGCACAACTTCAGAGAGCAAGCACAGGCATCATCAGCTACCCATCTCTCCTGTGCTCAAGGATCTTGCAGCACATCTCTTCCTGGCAGCTCCTGCACATGCAAACTTTTTCACTTCCTTACCCTCAGATTCCTCTGAGGACAGACACCTCACCAATGCACAGCAATACACTGGAGACACCGGTAATACCAAACCCATTTCAAGGGTGGAAGGAGGGAGGAAGAAATAGAGTCAGGCCAAGAGTCTGATCTTCCCTCATCCACCCAGCAGTGAAATGCACCTCTCTGCTACCTTAAAAGCCATGGACAAGAAGAAGGAACAGGGAATTAACAAGATGGAGCCTGAAAGACCTGAGGAAATTCAGCAGTGGCATGACTTCATGAAACAACAGCTGAGATAGAACGGTGCACTCGAGAAGGAACTTAAAGAACAATTTCCTGATAGTGAGGGTGACAGAGCACTAGAACAAGTTGCCAAAAGAGGTTGTGAAGTCTCCTTCTCTGGAGATCTGCAAAACCTGCTTGGACGGAATCCTGTGCCACATGCTCTAGGTGACCCTGCGTGCACAGAGGGGCTGGACTAGATGACCTCTAGAGGTCCCTTCCAACCTTAAGGATTCTACGAATGTATGAAGCAGCCAGCTACCTGCTCCTTTCTCACCTTTTCCTCAGCCACCACTCCCCAGCTGCAGACATGACTACGTGTCCTTTGGTCCAGATCAAAGTCCTCTGAGATAAGCTCTCCCCAAGCTTTTGGGGAAGTCGCATCACATGCCTCAGCCTCAGCTCATGACTTTCCCCTGGGACACAATGCTGCAAGGCGCATCCCGTAGCAAATGTTCGTGTAAATAAAACAAGGTGATAAAACTTGCCCTATCAGGTCGGGACTTAAATGGTACAAGAAAGTGTAGATTGAGAGGGACATACACGTGGACAACTGACAGAACAGCGAAGCTTAACGTTTCAATTGGACATCACGCACCCAGAAAAGACCACCACCGCTTTATCTACTCACCAGTTAGCCCCAAAAGTCAGGAGAAGTTTCTAACATCTCTCTGTGTACATAGGGATGATACACGCTCTTTTGCAACAACATAAGCACAAAACTTAATCAAAGACCTTAAAAGATACAAAACTGACTAAGGGAACACTTGCACAAATCCTTTTGTGTAAATTTAGTAAATAAAGAAAAAATCCCCCAAACAAACAAAAACCTACGGAAATTTCCTGGCTTACCATGACTATTACTTTTAACTCATTCAAAACAAAAACAAGTAAAACAATTTAGGGTCAAACTCTACACATTCCATCGCATCACCAAACTTGCTCAGAGTACAAATAATTGAAGGTCTTTGCAAGGAGCAACAGGTTACTCTGGCACACCAAACAACCAACAAATAAAAATAAAAATAAAAATAAAAATAAAATAAAATAAAATAAAATAAAATAAAATAAAATAAAATAAAATAAAATAAAATAAAATAAAATAAAATAAAATAAAATAAAATAAAATAGACACATTTCACATATGCAATAGAAAGCCCACTGTCTTGACAATGTTATGGACATTTGGACAACTGAATAAAGAGATGAATCCGGAAAACAATGAGAGGCCAGACTTTATGAGAGCTTACTAGAAAAAATACCGAAAGACGGCAGAAGGCAATAAATTTAAGCTCTGCTAAAAATGAAGAGGAAGTCATTTAAGAGCAGCTAATGAACGATAACAAAAAATTCCAATAAAAGGCCCAGAAGAATAAAGCTGCTAGCCAGCACAAGGGAAAGTGATGATCGTGTCTTTACTTCCAAGAGTAAATACCTATGTCTCATGAGTATATCTGATTCAGTGCTGCTCGTAGCTGGAAACACAAGGTGAAGCTTGTTTTATTTTATGTGAGCACTGACCTCTGCACCTGAACAGTTACTGCAAAGCCAAAAAAAAAAAAAAAAATCAGTTAGAAAATTCCCAATAATTTTACATAATCTGACATACAAAAAAGGCTATTTTGCCTCTAAGCATGGAAGCTTTACTTAAGCAAACAAAGCACAAAATGGAAAACAGAACTTACCTTGTTACCAGTTTCTAACTTAATGATCAGCAGCATAGAAGCACTCCGCTTTTTTAAAAGGATTTTGTTTGTTTGTTTACATGCTTATATAACCAGCATTCAACATTCAAAGTAATCAATAATCTTTGAAGTGATTGACTTGGTTTGATTCAGAAACTCCTCCTCAGAGACCTAAATTATCAAGTAAGCTGCTCCCTTGGCCACTCACTGGAGACTCCATCTCTTTCAGCACTTGCCGTAGAAGACGTGTGCGCCGTTCCGTAACAAGCACAGAACCTTCAATTTATTTACTGCACAGTTGTTTTGAGCAGCCTTAAGTACCCTCCCATGTGATGCTTAAGAAAGGCCACAGATCTAAAACGGATTAGGATTACCAAAGGGGATTATGAATGAGAAATGCAATACGCTGGCTCCTCTCATCTTAAACGACAAATCTGCTCTTACACACTTTCCAGTTGCTTCTGTTAATGTAAACTTCTGCAAGATTTAAAGGTCCCACTCCCCATTTTGGGCAGAAAAATCTTTGAGGGCTTTGTAGATAGGGAGTCTGCCAAACAGGAACCAAAGGCAGGAGAAGGATGCATGAAGAAGTTTTTCTATTTAGTCCTATTTCTTTGCATAATAAACCTGTATCAAGAAACTGACTGGGCCTGAGATAGCCAAAAAGCTGTTTTATTTCCCACAGAAATGGACACACCAAGCAGATGAAAACACAAGTAGAAGAATGTCCAGCAAGCAGTTTGATTATCGCCAAGCGGTCCTTTCTTTGGTTTAGAAGCAGAATATAAAGACTTCTCAAACCCACGAAACCTTTAAAAACTACTGGTGCTACATGCCATGCTTGCTTCCCAATCCAGCACTGCTAAAACTGTTTTAAGCTATGAAAAATGCTCTCATTCTTATCAAATTTCAATTCTTGCACAGAAGCAACCCAACACTCATTTCACAGGTTAAATAATCTATTTCATAAGATACATCATTAATCACTTCCTTAGTGTATTTTTTTAGCACATAATTAAACTGCTACAACCTGAAAGTTAAATATTTCTTTGATTAGGAAGAAAAGACATTCAAGTTAACAGATAGGCTTTGTTCTGGATGGAAGATGGATATGTGAACATTTATGAACTGATGAAATGCAAGACTGATTTAAAAATTACAAAATCAAATTGACTTCTTAAAAAATAATTTCCTTTCTTGTTTAAAATAAAAATTCAAAAAAAACCAAAACAAAACTTCTTTCAATGTTCAACTTTGTGTCTGGACCTAAGCAAGTTCTCCATAGCTGACGAAACAAACAGGAACAGAGCTTCTATCTGGATGTTCATGATTAACATGGACATGAATACACTATTTTATAAACCACAGAGAACCTGGTAACATCCATTGCCAGAACCTATTTGGCCTTACACAGCTGAGGGCAAGAAGACCATGCTGAATGGCACAAGGGAGGATCTTTTTCCCCCTGCTTGCAGACGGCTGTTGAATAAAGGAAACCTGCCGGGATCAGGAGTCCTTGTCTGCTCTGTGAACTAAAGCAGGATTGACATGAAGTTTTATCTATGATACCGTGATCTCTTTTGTATCATTGTTCAGGACCCTCTGTATCAGTTCTGCCACAGGACTCCTCATAACAGCATTGTGCGAACAGGGTCAAGGCAAAGCTTGTGGCGTATTTATCTGGGCAGAAGCAGAGGATGCACGTAAGCAGGTTATGACACCGAGCGAGACTAGTGCAGGACGCTCAAAGGCCCGCATCTCCGGAAGGCTCCCTCAGGAAGTCTGCCTATCTCATGTACAAATACTGCAGACAGCATGGCAATGTCTGCGAATGGTGCTCAGGCCACAGGCAAGCATCCCTTGGACCCTGCACAGGCAAGTGTTCTTCCTACCTCCTAAAATGCTGTCAAAGTATTCCCGTCTGTTTTATTATAATAGGAACCATGAAAGAACAGGGGTTATTGTCACAAAGTAAAACACTCACCAAGTTGGCTACATGAGACATCAGCAAAGGGTCTCTGTGCTCGAGGTCATGAGAGAAACTTTCCATCTGAAGATCTAACGATCTTACTGCATCATCCTCTCCCAGGCAAAATTGTCACCGATGTTAGTGGGATTTTTTTCCAAAGAAGAACCAAAACTTTAAGCTATACGTGAAGATATCCATTGATCTTGACTCCACAATCCTTTCATATTCCTGCTCTACTTCCAAGAAATGCCTGCATTGACAATACAAAGGCACAGCACAAGCAGACCAACCAAAAAATGGATACACTAGAGAAATTAGCTGTTAACTTTCTACTGAAGGCAGCTTTCAAACGCGCAGCTGAGGCACATGCTACTGCTATCACATCACAGGCTTCTCTTGCCTATCACATGAATAAAAAGAGTAATGCACAGCTACCCATAGAACTACTCGATCTAATCACGTTTCCTTGTCGTACATTCCTTAAATTGACTGAAAATCTTCCACTGTGGTTAAACACCTGATCTACTACTACCACAAGACAAAGGCTTTTAACATTGTGCAGGAGTCTCCTTAGCACTACATGCCTCTCACTCACCTTTCACAAACCTAATAAAAACTAAAGGGTCTACGTGTCGGAGAACCAGTCCTGTTGGATCAGGATCGTACATTCGCCACGTGTCAGAGAAAAAGACGACAACATAAACAGCAATATTACAGGTCTTCATAAATCAGACAACCAGCGGCCTGTCTTTATTTAATTACATGGAGACCTACAGCACAAGCAAAAATATAAACTTTTCTTTTTATTTATTATTAATTACATCAGTACATTCAAATTGCACAATAACTATTTTCAAGAGCAAAAATATTTCCAGAGTAAAAATACTCTGTAGCCATAAACATCTGTTAGAGCAAAATTGTAGTTAAAATAAAATCAAACCTCTACCACTGTTCGTTAACAATATCATCTGGTAATACTTCAACGAACTAACAAGTCATTATTACCTGAATGGTTCATGTAATTAATATGCAAAACAACTGTAGTACTTTTAAGAGTACTTTTTAAAGTATGTGCTGGTCTTGGAAACCTTCAGCATTTCACCCATTTTGTCTGTTGAAATAAATAAATAGACAGACAGATAAATAAGGGAGCATAGACTTGTATGAAGTCCAGAAAGAAAGCAAAGTCTTTAGAATATCCAGAGCAAATGAATTAATACTCCTATAATCAGTTATATAATCAGTTGTATTATATCAGTTGCTACCAATAAGATCCAACAATAGCTTAAAAATAAACTACTCAAACTAGAATGCAGCCTCATGCTCCTGCCAAGCGCGTGCAAGCAGTTTCTTGGAACGGAAGTAAATATAACTTAGCACCTTCCTCTGAACACATCAAAACCCTGATGTGGAGAACACCTTGGGAGTTCAAGCACTTGGATTTTTCTGCACGTCTGTAAGACAAAGCCCTCAGAAGACGATTACGGTCAGTTGTCTGTGAGGGGCTGTCATAGACTAAGCCTGATCCTTCTTGGTGTCAAGGGTACAGCCCTCTCCTGCTGGGGTTCAGCTCCCTATGGGCAGGATTGCCGTAACCAACTACCTGAAGACACGTTAGGCTTCCCAGTACTGATATTTGTAAAAGTATTAGCTAAAATGTTTATCTCAGGAGGCGGTACCTTTAGGTAATACCACCACACATACCATTCACTCTGATAAGGAACTTTTTCTGAGGTGCAATAAAGGGTTTGCAAAGGAAGTGAGCACTTAACTCTATCTCTAAAACAGCAAGGGAAGCTATTTGTCCAAGATCAAGAAACAAACCAAGAGAGAGTCAGGAATTCCAACGGCACTGCTTGAATGCCATGGCAATGTCTTGTGCCTCAGTGACTCTTCACCTGATGTTTTTTGTCTGAATACCAATAGCTAGAGTACCAACATGCTACTTACCCCATCTTCACGTCACAGTCCTGATCCACGTTCTGTACTTATCTGGAAATGCAGCGCTCATTACTGTGGTATACACCGTGTTACTGGTAAGGGAAAAAGAGAAGAGAGGGAGTCAAAATCATTCCAAAGATAAAATGATTCATTTATAAAACCAGCAAAGCAGCAGAACTAATTTTAGCAGAAGCAGATGTTGTTTTTACAGAGAAGTGTTAAAACAAAACTGATAAAAATGAAGGTTCTCGGTACAAACATTTATTAGATGTTTTCTCAACAGTGAATAAAGTGTTTCTACATTTGTTTAATCACTGTCTTAAAATATTAGCATTGCCAATCTTTGCAGTCACAAGAACATAATTTTCTCCTTTCCCAAACTGGCTTTTAAGACAACAGAGATGAAGCCCTGGCACTGACTCTGAGGACACATTTCCAAGCTCAGATGGGAACAACTGATGGAGAGTAAAACATAATTAGGTACCTGCCCTGCAGAGGCACAATTTTTGTAACAACACAGAACATATACTGGAACTACTCTGTTTTACAAATCCTACTTCTAATCTATGTTTCCCATGTACTATTTTCCATTTTGTACAGAAAACAGAACAGCAGAAATACTACTGCTGTTCCCCCTGTAACCAGATGCAGGTTAATGATGTGCATTTTGGTGGCTGGCAAGCGAGCAACAAAACAAAAAGAGTTCTGTGAAATACGAAGACACAATTCCCGTGCACAAGCAGAAGTCTAAGCTGGGAAATCACAAGATTCTCAAAAGGACATACACAAGAATCTTGAGGAAGTTTGTGTTTGGCTTTTAAGCGGCCAGAGGCATGGCAGGAAGCACTGATCAACACTGAACCTAATACTTACTTGTTTAAGACCGGCTTCACTGACAATACCTGTGCAGAGAGTTCGAAGAGTTGTCATTTTGATAAATGAAAGCAAATGAAAAGGCTGTTTAGAAACAGCAGTAAGATTAAGTTAAGAAAATGAATAATGCAGAATCAAGGATCATTCTTGCCAGTTTCTTTTTAACATCAGACTGTATCAGAAAAATATTTAAAATAAAAAACTCTGAAACCTAAGACCTAAGATCTCAAAACTAACTTTAAGAACCCCTCTTCTCTAACACTTTCTTTGCCTGCTCTAATATCCATAACTGTGTTTGAGCTGCACAAAAATAATGGTCACAGATTCACCTCCTGCCCTTTCACATTCTCCTTTTAGCATTGGCCACATATCAAATATTGTTAGCTAAGGCCAGTCGTTCACAGACTCCTGGAAGGAATAAATCTTTTTTCCACACAAACTTCATGTACTCCACGCTCCTAACTGTGGAAAACCGCAGGCCACATCAAAGACCTGATAAAAATTTGATTAAGCATCGGTGCTCTTTTGGTTGATTTCAATATACTTTGGATCAAGCCCTGGTATTATCGGGTTATGATCATACTATTTATACAAGTTCCTTCAATAAAATCTCTCTATCCAAATGTCACGTAAGGAAATCCACATAGAGAAAAATTAAGAACTTGGATCATGCATAAGGTTTATCTGACCCATCTACCAAAAAACATGGACTGGCAGAATCTTATGAAATATAGGAATACACCATGATACATACTCACTGCCCTTTTTAACCTAAATCCCTATATGAATAACACTGAAACTTTCCATTCCTAACCTCAACTCCAGCATTTCAGCCCATCACTAACTCATCTAATGTATGAGCAGCGCACTTAGCTGTGAGCAGTCAAACTCCACTACATAGCTTTGTTCTGTTTCCTTACACTCAAAATCACCTCACTGTACAAATATTGGTGCATTAAAATTTTGCTTCCATCATTAAAGCTATTGCATTAGAGCAAGCTGGATTATTCAGCAAAGTAGTAATTATCATTTGATATGACTGCTGATAACTAATCTAAAATCTAATTTAAAATCTAAACATATTGCATTCCCTTGGTGCACCGCAAAAAAAAAACCCCAAATCTCACTCAAAACTGTTATAAACACCTAATCAACATATTAAAATCTGCTTCTAAAAGCCTTTAGGTGCTCCTGAAAACAGCAACCTGTTTCTAGATTAGTAATAGTGAAGGATCTCCATCAAAATTCCAGAAGCCCTTCTTGAATAGACTTATATGTCACTCTCGAGCAATGTAAAATAATTTAACCGTATTTTTCGGTTCTTCAAAACTTTTAAATATCTGTAGTTTGATGCAAGAATTGATACTGTGTCCCTAACCTATCACCAATGTTGCATATCCCCATATCTTTTCACTAAAATAAAAATAGTAATTACTAGCTCCATAACATGTATTACTAACATGATTTCAGTAGGAAATCAAAACAGACTATCCAAAGAAGTTGTGCAGCTACTTATTAACTGAAGTTCAAGGGAACTTAAAATCAGTGGCCAGGTATCTCAGTCTGGGCATCCAGGGACAAAGTAATCCAGAACTAAGAGAATGCCAGAAGTCTGGATTTGACCCAAGATACCCAGAGAATTTCCAAAAGAATCTGACTTGTGAGTATCCATCAGGAGATCACATTTCAAAATGAAGCTCTCCAGAGGGGGTCCTGCAATACACTTTCTTTTATTATGACTTACTCGTACAGCTTTTAAATCCCTGCCAAAAAATGTAACTGCCCTTTCGCTTTGGAAGAGAATTCTAAGTCAAAGCTGACATGACACAACATAGAATTTAAAAGAAATACCTGAAAGAGAGTATCAAAATTAATATTCCGCTGCCCAGTGGCATTGAGAGCTTTGATGGCTGGAGTTCTGCAAGAAAACAACACAATATCATTAAACACACTTTATTGTTTCAAAAGTTACAACGCACATCTAAGAAAAACTGCTCCCCAAATGCCTTAACATTAGAATGTATACTTTGGTCTAAAATAGGCTGCTGTGTGACTGTATCCCGCATCTTACTGCCAAATCTACTATGTTACCATACTGTGACAACAGAACAGTCGGGAAACTACCAATAACTTCTTGCATACTATATAGTATTGACTATATCTTGTCTGTGGGTTTCTTAATAATGCCGTTAAATACTTTTTTTACTGTAAGGTGTAAACCCCACTTTCTAAATGATTTCTGATTTAAATGGGCATTTTTGTCCTTGAGAAAAATATACCCTCATCTCTGCACTTTTTCAAAATAAAAATAGTATCTCACTACATAGCTCCAAACTAAATTTACCTTCGATCGTCACAAGGAGGAGGGGTAGTCCAATGGTCATAGTTTGTCTCCACACGAAACCACCTATACCATAATGCATAAAGACAAAACAAAAGCCATCTCAACAAGTAATTAACAAAGACCAAAAGTCAGTATTGTTGTACTGCCAAAGGGGAAAAAAAAATCTCTCTCAAAAGCCTCTTTCCTGAACCTCTTGCAAGCACAGTGGATCCCGTGTTGATACACATCGCAACCTTTATAAATTACTGAATACAAAAGATAAAAAATAAAAAAGGAGGGAGCCTTTAAGTTTAATTTCTCTTCATACATGGTTAAAAAACAAACACATAAAGTATTTTTTCCACTACTGTCCATCTAGACTGCCCCAACCTGACAAACTGCATTCCCTCTGTTTCTAGGAAGGAGCGAGGAATGTTCCTTCCAGACAGTCTCATTGAAGTCTATCCTATAAGCAGTATTAAGAGATGAGCTTGGGTCTCTACAGAAAGCGTCCCCATTATCCTTTTCTATCACCCAGAAAGAAGTCGGAAATATGAAAACAACGCTTTTTATTCTACTTACGCTCCACCTAAGGGATCCAGAGGCCAGAGGTCTGCTGGCCCTCTTCTGTTCCTTGTTATGACCATGCCTTCTTTGGGCGACACGCCTCCGACGATGTAGTACACTTCAGCAATGATGGGAACGCTAGCTAGTCTGAGAACTGCAGACTGAAAGTCCTCCGCTCGGCTCAGAGTCTAGTGCCAAAAGAAGGCCAGATCGGAACAAAAATTACACAGTGCCTCTCAACATATGAAGAATAGAGAGTTCCCTGATAACAACAGCCAATGTAGTTTCAAATACCTACTGGATCATCATCTAAGAGAAAGACTGCCCAACTGTATCCTAAATTATTGCATCCCTTCCCACTAAATGAAATTGTCGCTGGGACAGAAGCATTTGTACACCTCTCAAAAATTTCTGACACTCATCAATGTTAGGTGAGTTAGCCACCCAAAGGACAAGAATTGCCTCTATCGTACCTGTTGCTGACAATTTAGGAACAAGACCTAACTCCCTTATAGAAATCATTTCTTTATCAATCTAATAAATTCTGTGGAAATAGTCAAAAAAAGCCATCAGATCTGTTACAGATCTTAAGTTGAAATAACATGACTGTGAACTCTGAGTACACTACGCACTTACATCTCGAACAAGCCAGCTGACTGGGTAATTTCGATTCAGGAAAGCAGCTATGGCATTTTCCCACCACCTTCCACCCTCTGGAAAAAAAATATTACAAAGGCATGTTATATATACTCTGTGAAATGAAACTGCCTTCCTTTTTTTTTTTTCCCCCCCCCACAGGTCTAGCTTTGCACTCTTTCTCTCCACTGCACTACAGAAGAGCAGTGCAATGAATTCTCTCACTACATCAGTATTATCAATATGATTCAAGTTATGCAGTATAAACCAAACTAGCCAAGCATGCACCACCTCCAAGTAACAGAAGCCTCTTGTGCCATCTCAGATTTATCAATGCTGTTCAGAACACAAAATGCCAATAATGCTCCTTTTTTTTTTTTTTTTTTGTTATTGTACCACTTCACTGACAGCTATATGGTAAACCTGGAGCACATGCTGCATAATCAGGCTAGGTTCAAAGATACCTGAAAAGCCTTCCCTTTAGAAAATTCTCCCTTCAAATGCTCAGCCATTCAATTCTGCAGTTTGATAAGTCATTAGGTACCGACATGTGACTGAAGAACCACAGTAAGCTAAATTCTGCATGAAACAGGGCACCTGCCTACATGAAATAGCAGCACTTGAGGAAAGGAGCTGATGAGCATATCTACCTGTAACTATAGGTAAAATATAAATAGACTACATAATCCCAACTGAAGTTCACGCAGGGACAGCTGGATTAACACCCCTGCTTTTTAGAATATATCTCAGGATCTGTAACAACCTAAGAGACTGGGATCTTAGCTTTTCAGTATATTCTGAAATTTCCAGTTGTGTGGTTTGTGTTACAAGATTGGACAGTAAGGTGATACGGAGCTGGTAAGATAGAAAATAAACAATATGAACAGTTTGTATAGAGTGATAGATTCAAGAGTTACAGCAACAAACTCAACCAATCTGAAAGCCTTCTATTAGCAAATACGCAATGAAGTCAGAAATGTGTTTCAAGGCTACTCTCACTGCTTCAAGAATCTCAGTTTCCAGGCAGATGCTTTCACAGATTTCACATTGTGTAATTAAGAAATCACACAGAGCTGCGAAGAGAGAGAAAGATGCTTGACGGGCTGCAGTAGACAGAAGTAGAAAGCGTATTCAGCATGGAACAGAAAACACCTAATATCTCTGAAAACAAGCCAGTGCTAGAAATTTCAATCAAAAAGTAGCACATTCATTTCAGTCATGATCTGCTAGCTTTTCAATTTAGAAACATTTTTTATTCATAGTTGAATGCTGAGTAAAAGGCTGATATAAAAGGGAGCAGCTCTTCATAAAACATAATGCCAAAAGGGCTGTAGTTCTGTTTACGTAATAATCAACAGCTCTCTGCTCCAATATTAGCATAAATTGCCCCATAACTTATCTCGCTGAAATTTTACCACAAGAATTTTGCAGAAGAAAATAAGGAGAACTAAGAAAACAGGAAATATAAAGGTCAAGTTTATCATTATGTATATGTCAAAAAGAAAAAATGGAAAAAAATTATATTGTCACTTGAGAAACCTTCACCCTAATTTGTAGTCATCCTTCTCCAGCAACAAATCACAATTTCACTTCCCTCAATCTCAGCTGTACAGTGATAAACAAAAAAAAACCAAGTAGTCAGTCTCAACTCATTTACTATATACCATATATGTTGAGTGAATGTTGTCTATAACTAACAAGTTGTCTGTATATATACTGCTGTCTATAATTTAACAGTATCAAAGTTCAAGGCACATATATGGATGACAACACGAGTTTGTGATGGACAAGGGCAGCCCATTTCACCAAAGATTTGCAGTCCTTCATTCCCATTTCAGGCTCAGGTGTGCAGAATGCATCTGTATATACACCATCTCATCTCACAGCTGTCTCAAATCATCTTATAGTGAAGTCTGAAGCACACTGCTAAAGAATTAATATCTTTGTAATATATCTGTTGAATACTGATCATATAATATGCAAAAAAAGGGAAGAAGACTGTCTGAATTAAAAAAGAAAATTTGCTTATCAGTGCAGTAATTAAATATAAAAATATATTTTAAATGCGGCTTCTAGCTCAAACTAGATCATTCCTTGTTCGTACCTATGGCCAACAAACAATCGCATAAAATGACCGATTCTTAGAAACAAAAAGGGAGGTCAGGAGATGACGACCCAAAGTGGTTTCAACACGTCTATCAATGATAGTGAAATTTAAGTGCTGAAGGACATGGCAGTGATCCTTTCTCTCCTTTCTAACTTTCAACAAGGACTTCTATTATCATCAAACATTCATCATCAACAGTGATGTCTCTCATCTTTCGTCAGTTGCCTGTTCAGTATCTCCAGGCATCCTGTCAAGTCCCCCTTCTTTTCCCCTAGTTCTTTTCTTGCTTCTCTTCCCATCCACTCTTCCAAGTTGCCTTGTGGGGACAGATAAAAAGGGAATATAGAGAAGGGGACAGCAGCAGCTGATGTGCTATACAAGATAAGACATCTTTTTACTCTCTGCCTCTACGCTGCCTTCTAGCAGTGTCTCCTAAAAAGATCACATGAATTTCATTCTTCCTGACTTCCCCAAGGTTCTCTGTATCCTCTGACACTTTTCAAGCTCAAATGACAAACACTGTGCTGACAAATACCTCTCTTCTACACAGCTGCCAAAAAGCAGCACTACATGTGACATTACTCCCTGTGGTCCAATTTCAGCTCCCTCCTGGCATCCTTACAGCCTTTTCCCTCTGGGGAAGAGGGGAAGGGGATAGAGGCAACAGTGTTGTAAGAGTCAACCATCAGTGAAATACTGTACGCAATATCAAGTGCAGAAAATGAATTTGTTTTACCTCGTTCATCCCCAGAGATTGTGAACTTGTGTGGGCTCTGTCCAGTCCACAGACCTACATAGCCAAAAAATGTAGTGCCTTGATATGCTATCTGCAACCACAAAACATACAGTATTTTAGCATTCTAGATCAGAGCACTTTTTAAAATACAAGCAATATTCTGTAACAGCATCTTGTAATTTTCTTTGTGAATTGCATACATTGTTTTAAAAATCACCTCGAAAACTTTGCCTTCAGTTAAAAAAAAAAAATTGTGAAGTAAATTATAAAAGCACCCTACAGGCCAAAACTCTCCAGTTTGCCAACAATAACCAAGTACTACAAAAATGTTGCAAGTAAGAAAGAAACAGTAACTTATTCATTGCAGAAAAAAATAACAAGTATTAAGAAAAACAACATCAAAGACAACTGTTTCAACAATCAGTATTTTTTCGTGATTTTCAGCATCTAAATCACACACATTGGCCACCAAAATTAACATCTGAAAAAGGCAGTGCAATCTCTGCCAAAATTTATTTCTTTCCTATATTCTCTAGTATTCCTTCTTGTTTTTAAATGTCCCGATACTTTCTTCTCTCAATGGTTCCTTCTAAATATCGATCTTGAGATACCAGGTTATTTACATTATTCTATCTGCACCTATTTCGCATCACTGACTGAATAAGCAACACAGTATTCCCGTAATTCAATAACCTGGTATTTCCACACTAAATTCTGCTGCCTACACAGTAGTATAGCTTTATTTAATTCTCTCAGAGAATACCACCCAGCCATGTCAATCACAGATCATACCTGCCCGCTTTTAATAAATTGCACATCAATTGTGATCTTGCTTAAAAGATCTACAAAATCATAATCCAGGTTCCGCCCATGGTAAATGTTTCCTTTATCATCCTGAGCAACAATACTGGTACAGAACCTTTAAAACAAAAAGCAGAAAAAAAAATGATTTAAGAAAAACTAGGTGACACTTTTCAGCCTTACAGTGTAGTCAAACTAGCTTAGCATTTCAGGAACTGTAATTTCTGCATCTATATTTTGCAAAGTCTTTTACTAACCTATGCATACAAACAGGAGTCCACACTATGTGGCTAACACTTCCACTTCCCAACCTGCAAATATACCTCCTCCCTGTACGTTTTTACAGAATTTCTTCAGAGCTTTCTCTTCTAGTTAAAGAAAACAAAAAAAAATAATGCAGACAGGTTTGAATGAAACTCTACGTAACTAGGAAATGTTACAATGTCCTATGCAACTCATCCACGACAACCGGATGAGGGCCCTTTGCTGGAGAGCTCCAGGAGTCGTATCTGTACAGTTTATACCTTATCAAGACTCACCAGGCACAGAAAGTCAAAACCTCTATTACTGTTTCCCTCATGTCAGATATTATAAAATAGGTAGACAAAAGCACTTCCATTCAGGGGGAAAAAAAAAAAATCAAAACCCATCCTTTCAATATTGAGATGAAAAGCTGACATATAAGAATGGTGACAAGATATCAGGCTGAAAGTTTTAAAACTTCATTTTGCTAGACTATTTAATTTGTATCTTGTTTATATTTTTAATTACAATTAGAGTATAAGTTTAAATAAAATTCTCTTAAATTTAAAACACCAGCTGTTGCACATGTTAGCCTTTCCCCAAAACTCAGACCTTACCTCCAGAATAGGAAGCGTATACTGTAATTACCTTTTGCATATTAAGAGTTGCGGTTTCACTGAAACATATATTTTTGTTAAATGCATATATTTATATATATATATAAAGTATATTTATTGCGTAGAAGTGAAAACTTGTGTTCTCTGGAGAGAAGCTGGTCAACCCAGTCATGCAAAGCACTGCCCTTCAGAGCCATAAATTGCAGACAAGTAGTCGTTTCCTGGTTGCTGGTTTCCTTTTAGCTTGTGAGCAGTGGTAATCTTAAACTTGCATAAGCTTTATCGGTGTTGAAAGTGATCAATGTCCTCCACGAAAAACTAAAATGACTCATGAGGTACTAATCCTTGTAAACAAACAGTATTCCTCTTACCTGACTATTACAGATATAAAAAATAAAATGGGCAAAAGAATCGTACCACCTATTTTTTAATTAAAACAAAGATTGAGATTTTTTTTTCATAATTCTCCTACATAGTGTCTTATAACCTCCTGCACAAAAGAAGGAATATAAACAGAGTACTTTTTTCCACTGAGGTTTTCTCTCCTATCATAAAGGTAATTGCCTCCATTCTACATTTGTGAAAAATAATAATAATTGAAAATCATCATTATGTAGCCTACGTGACAGTCCATCCAGACAAATGGTTTGGAAGCAACTTTGTTTATGACAACTAAATAGTTTAACTCTAATTAACAACTTAAAAAGAAATAAAAACAGAGAGTTTTTTTTTAAGGTACAAATATTTTTTTTCCATTTCCTTTTTGACTAAATTCAACAACTTCAACAAATGCATTAGATTTATCTTAAAAGAATAACCAAGCCAAAAAGTTTGAACCTTGTTTACCTTCTTTACCAGCAAGAGTGCTTTTTTGAATTTTTATATTTTTATATACATGGATGCATATGCTAAGACAAGAGCTGTGTATGATCATTACTAAAAACAGAATATGCTGCATTGCAATGTACTTTCTTCAACTAATCACAAGAGCAATGGGGAAAGAGTAAAACTATCCAGATTAATATATGAAACGCATGAAATATTAATTTATGAAATCCTAACAAAATATGCAATAATTTTACATGTCTTCAAAAACACACCTTCATGGAACTAAAATATATCTCCCCATTCACTTCTATGAGATTCAATCAGTACCAGATACTTACGCTGTGGACTCATAGGCAAAGTTCAGCAAAACTCCATCTCCCAGACTTATTCCCAGTGCTTTGCACAGTCCCAGAATTTCCCCTACAAAAGGCTGGGGCATAAAGAACTCCAGTTCTGCAGCTATTGGCCGAAGAACTTCATGGACCCATTTTGGCACCGTTTCACTGCAAAACACGCTCCAGGAATTAATGAGGCATTACCCAAGAACACGACAGAAAGGTTTACAGCTTGTGCTCAGAAATTAAATTCTTGTTGAACTTGCTACTGCTTCGACCAGCCTACACCGTTTGGCACTGATCATTTATTAGACCTCACTCCCACCCTAAGTCAGACATCCCTGCATCCCTGTGACCTCTGTGCATCCCCAGAGATATCTGCACAACCTCTGAAACCAGCACTGAAACTGCGTTGGGACAATTCATAAACTTTCAGTCTCTACTGCTGATCCCTTACAGTGCACCTTTAGATGGATTCCTAGTGTAGCTTCACTAGGCATGCCCTAGATTGATACTCAGAAAACTGAACACTTGCAGAATAACTGAGGAATACAGCACCCGTGCAGCATTACCCCCCCTCTCCATGGCAGCCCCACTGCTACGGCTGGGAGCAGATGGGTCCCCCGACCTCATAACGCTCCTGGCAGCAGCTGCGGGGAGGGTACCAGGGACCTGGTGCTGCCCTTCGTCCGGTCCCCCCGGTCCTGAAGAACACCTTGCTGCTATGCATGGAAGGTCACCCAGCCGCTTCGTCTCTCTTCACGCACCCTCTCCGCCCCCCGAGGAGAGCGAGGGGCGCCCGTCCCGGCCACCGCCCCGCACTCACTCGATGACCCGTGCGACGGCGGCACGCAGGAAAGCGGGCTCGAAGTGCCGCAGCAGCGGCAGCCACCGCTCCTCGGCGGGGCTGTCCAGGCTCACGTTGCAGCGCAGCGGCGCCGCCGCCGCCGCCGCCCCGCACAGCGCGGCCAGCAGCCCCCATAGCGCAGCCCCGCGCCCCATGGCGCCCGGCATCGCCGCCCGGCCCCGCCGCCCGGCTCTTCCCCCGCCGCGGGGCGCCTCGCGACGGCAGCGGCCCCCGCCGCGCGGCCGCCCCGCAGGGGGCAGGGCTTGCACATGGCCGCCGCCTGCCGCCCCGCGGGCGCCGCGTGCCGTAACGGTCGCCCCCGTGCGCACGCCGCCTGTAACGGTCGCCCTCGTGCGCGCGCATGCGCGGGGGAAAGCCAACGGTCGCTCACGCGCTCGCGCCCAGCTCCCCAACGGTCGCCGGCGCGCGCCGGCCTCGCGGGCGCCTAACGGCTCCGCCGCCCCTCCCCCCACCGCGCTGTAACGGTCGCGCTCTTCTGCATGAGGGAACAAAGCGCTCAGCTTGGCTTGAAGCTCCTGGGCTCTGCCCTATGCCCCGCTCTGGCCCTAGCACAGCTCTTAGTCTAAAGCCAAGGCGCAGGAAATTAGCACAAGCCCGGAAAAGGGCACAAATTTAATTTAACAGCAGAGAACGAGCTAGAGAAAGAGGGAGGGTGGTGGTAAACGACCTCGTCCCATAAAATTCTTTAGTATTTAATAACCCTAGCCACACACAAAGACAATTGTTCAGGAAGCCCAGCAAACAAAGGAGGAGGATTTTCTACAACTGAGTCTTCTGTTCCCAAACTGCTCCAAGAGATGGTGCTCTCTTCCACCACCCCTTAACTCCCATTCCACCATTCCTCTTCCTTACATAACTATAGATTCTGTGTAGCAATACCTGGCTACTGCCCCTATGCAGCCACCCCTCAAGAATAATCATTTTTTCAGTTAGAGACACAGGTATGGAAGAATTAAGTATCTTGTGAGCTACTACTGCCACTGACGCTGGAGTAAGGTTGCTGCTTTTCAAAGGGAGATGTGAAAAAAAAACAAAAAAATACAAGCAATGAGAAGTAGTAAGACTAAAACGGGCTTTTTCTACATATAAACATTCTCCTATAAAAATGGAGATTGCAAGAATGTCAAAGTCCTGCAAGCAAAAGCATATTCTAAAATAAAAAGCTATGCATGTAGCTCAGCCTTCAACAGGGCTTTGAGTATGCAACAAAAGCAGAGGCAATGATGGTGTTAGGTATCAATATTAACCCTTCCTAACACCAGCCAAACAAAAAGCTTTTATGTTATACCGTGAACTGACATCCATTTCTCCTCCTTAAGGAAAGCAGTTTCTAAGCAAGTTTGACAAAGGCTAGTATACACAAGTCCTTTGTGTATGCACAAAAGCAGGAGGTTGGGTAAGGGAAAGGGAACCGAAGCATGGTTCCAAATGAAGTGAAGGCTGAAATAGGAATTGCCAGCTTATAGATAACTCACACTATAGGTTCTTCTCAAGCATACCTTAAAAAAATCATATTTCATCATAAATCAAAAAGTTTAAGACACACAACTCTATGAAAACAAGATTTAGTTTCCTGTTTGCATAATTATATTCTCATTGAAATGCAAAGAAAACCTCTCCCGTTACTCAATTTATTCTTTTCTCATACATTGTAGCTTTATAGTATAATGCTATGCCCATTGACTGTTTCAATAATCTGTGGTACAATAATTTTTATTAATGAACAGGTAAAAATAACCACTTAGAAAACGGCTTATTATTTTAATCTGTGAATATCATAGCCCTAAGATGGGCATAGCCATTACTCACACACACCTCCTTCTTCTAGGCTGTTATGGACATCTCCTTCCAGTAACCATCAACTGCTCCAAGTAAAAATCTTTTACACCAAAAGCCATATATTTTAATTAACTCTTACACATACAAAACCAGTTCGCTGGAAGTAATTTACATTCAACGAAGGATAACTGCCTTGAATCCTAGAAAGATTTTCAGAATCAAAATCTTCTAAGGATTAAGGCATCTTCGGTTTGTCCTGTACACGCAATATTCCTCCTCTTGCCTGTTCCTTATTTCAGCAGCCGTTTTCTCTGTTTCAGAAGTGCATCTCGAAGAGCCAACTGGAACATGGGACAAGAGCGGAATATTCAGATACTTTCAACTTTTAAATATCAAATTAAATAACACGATCAAATTGACAACTCTAATATGCCAATCACATCCATGCATCTCACTGCTATTTTTGCCAGACACCTGGACAAAATCATTTCACTGGAATTATATTTTACATACTAAATCAAATTGTGTATTGATCCTAAAAAGACAACTCCCATTTGGGATAACAGATTACTTCATGTATACTAAGATATCAATATCCTTACCAAGGCATTTAGATACTGCAGGTAAGGAAGGTGACTCCAAGATGAAAACGAACTAGCTTTAAAACCACTCAACTGAGGTGCAACAAGCAGTAAAGTGGTAAAAAAATAGGAGGTAACTTGCAACTCAATTCCACAAATTTCTATAGAAAGCTAACAGCAACATGTCCAGCTATAAAATAACTGGGAAAACTTATTCAGAAAGCTTTGACTAAAAAGTTTATGCACATTATTATGAATGGCTTAATACATCATGATGTAAAATTCCTGTAAACCTCTGTTCAACCTCACCAACAGGCAGTAATAACTGTTCAGCTAAAACTGGGAGCAGTGAATGGTAAATACTGACAACTACCATCACAGAAATAATGTGGTTGCTTAGCTGAAGTTGTCAGTACATTTAAGGAAAAAGTCAGTCCTCAAAAGGCAGTATATGTCAGTATGGCATTTGGCAGATCCTATACAATTAGGAAAAAATATAATAGCAAACTGTTCAACTGAGAGATTATATTCTATTAGAAGGAATCAGGGAAAAAAATAGGAACATCAATTGACCTTAGAATTAAGTAGGATTAAAAGTGTGGGTTTTTTTTTAGGAGTATTTTAGAGGTCTATTTCAGACCTTAGAGGCCTATTTCAAACTTTCAACCAAAGAACAAACACTTCAAGTAGCTTCCTAAGAGCCTGTTTGCTACATTTTGCTGGGGTTTTGAGACCTGGCATAATGCAGTCAGTGTGACTGGGGGAAATAAGAGAATAAAAAGCAGCAAATCAACTATTTCCTCAATATTAGGCTATGTCTTCCCATGCAAAAGAAACATCTCAGACACACTATTGCCTTCTCTACAGATTTTTTTTCAGTCTTGCTGCCCTTAGAGGAAAAACTCCCCCCCCCCCCCCCCGATTTGCCATTTCTTTGGTAAACAAATATATACTACCCTGTTGTTACTGATACTGGCAAAAGAGGGTTTGTAAAAGAAGAAATGAAATGTGCTCTATCCAAAGACAGAATCTATCCAAAAATATCAAATATTAAAAGCCACATCCATAACTGGATTATTCTATAAGTTTCTTGTGAACCATGTTCAAAGGCATTCCATTTTCTAACACTCTGGAACACTCTGTACTGGCCACCTGCCAGGTGAGATGAAAGGATTTTAAGGCAGACTTATTTTTGACCCAGATACACCCCAACAAGGTGATGTGTGGCAGGACAAGGCCCTGCCCAGCTGCCTCCAATGAGGCCCTGTCCCCAGCTGAGCTGCTTTAAGGGCATGAGTGGGGCTGTTTGCACCTGGTGCTAACCAGCTCCAACCATGGGCACCTGAGCACCCTGGGGGGCTTCCCAGCCCAAGTCATCCCCCAAAGTTCTTGCCTTGCCCTCTGAGAGGCACTTTTTGAGCTACACTATCACAGCTATCTGGGGGACAGATCACACAGTAATTGGAACAAAAACTTGATGCATTCAACCCACACATGCTTTTGCCAGAGCTGCTTTGAAATCTGCATCCCTTGGCAACTTCTCCGCTGAGATCAGCATATGCTAAAAGAGCAGTGGCAGGCTACACCCAAAAAGCAATTTTCTACATAGTTCCAAACAGGTTTAAAAAAATTGTCCTCAAATCTGTGCCCTAATGCTCTTTATGGATTGTTGCATGACCTTAAGCCAGCACAACTGAGCCCGTAATATGGCACAAATATGAGGAACACCTCAGGATACACACACAGACATACAAACTAATAAACCTTGTTAAAAACACAACTCTTAACACATTGGGAAAACATTTCTTTCTTCACAGTCATCAACAAGGGCCTCCTCTGATCTCCTTTCGCTTATATTGACCAAAACAAATTATGTTATCATTGGCTTTGTAATAACTCAGGTATGACTTTGTACCAGAGCTTGGTCCCTCACATACATTAAAGAGTAATTTATGCTGTCAAGAGAAAGGTCTTCTCTATCCCCCAATCTCTGATACACTCTATCTGGACAGGATTTAAGAAAACCAACCTGGCCCTAGTTGCTTGCCAGCAACCCAGCCATCCCATTATGCCCAACCGAAGACTTAGGGTGCAGAATAGACATTACCTGAGCTGAACTACAAGCTGTTGCTCACACTGCCAGGCTCTCCCCACCACCAAGTATTACCTGTTTCTCTCTGAAAGAACGCTTATTTTTTGTCCGGACATTATGGCTGTATCGCATCATCATGAAGTTCTTCTGTTTTTTCTTTTCTTTGTTAGTAGTGCTGGCAAATGGGTTCATTTTAGTTTTCTTTTTCACGAATTCTTTTCTGTCTGTTCTTCCAGCCTAGGATAGACGAGATATTTTACTATTTTCCTCTCCCCACAGTTCATAATTCCAGACTTGATATGACTTTGTCCATATTATATACATTCCTCCTTGCTGGCTTTATTTATTTAAACAAGGATAAAAACAAATGTCTGTGTTTTTACCTTGCCATCATCACCTGTGACCATTTATCTCATTTACCCCAAAAGCTACAGCAAAACAGTATACTAACTCAAAGCATCAATGTCAGCTAGGCTTCTGTCATACCAACTCAACCCTTCCTCCTATTTTTTTCCAGGGGAAAACACAATTCCTTTAGAACTGTAAAAGGACTAGACATATGAAATAACCAGGTTTCTCACCATTGCAGTTGCCAGTCTGGTCTCCTTGTCCGATTTAGGCTTCTTATGCAGATGTTCAATATCTCTCAGCGAAAGCAACTCTCCCCTAAACACAAAGAAAAATAAATAAAACAATACTCACACAGCACCATCTGTCAAGAAAAAAGGTGGCCCTCCTGCCCCATCATCTGCCTGTAAACAACACAACACTTTTTGTTCCTTCTCTCAAGCTAATCCTTGTGCTGTGACAACTCTCACAAACTCTCATTATTGCTTTTTCAAGGCCTTTAATCACGTAATTTAAAACCTTCAGAGATACAAACACACAACTAGTACTGCAGGACCAACACGCCCTTCAGTCTGAACATGGTAAGCAATCTCATGATTTTCAATGGTCCCTCTTGCCTCCTCCTCTCCTCTCTCACATAAAGGGAAAGCCCTGGGGCCAGGGTCCATGGTGGCCCTGTGGCAATTTGCCACATGCCATCACAGTTATCCTGATGGAACAGCAGAGTTCCATACCTTGCTGCAATTAAAAACTGACCAAATCACAACAAAAAGAAAACCAAACCCATCAAACTGTAGGGAAAACAAAGGCCCAATCAATATTTCATATCCTACCTCCTCTCCTCTTCATCATCTATTTCAATGTTCTTCCTCTTGGCAGCTTTTCCTGGTGCAGAATTGAGCTCTTTGGAGAGCTGGGCGAGGCGTATTTTATGGAAGTCTTCCTGAGTTAGCAGCCTGCTGGTGCTGACTGCTGCTGCTTTGGCTTTTCGCTCCTCTAAGGGCATGCTTTTCATCTTTTCTGCCTTTTGCAACAAGTACAAAAGAATCATGGAAAGGTTCACACAAACACTTCTGTTCCCTGATCCATGATCCTCGCTTCCCATATACTTATGTAAGGGGAATAAAGTGGGGGCAAAGCTCTGATCAGTTGTTAGCATTCTCAATATTCTTATATGCAACACAAGGTAATAAAGCAAAAGTATACATTAGCTTGTACTACTTTAGAGCAAAGGAAAACAGTCAGTGTGTAAATATCACAGCTTTGAAAGAATTTAGCACTGAGAATATTCCCCGGGATGCATCCTTCAGTACATGTGCAGAAATGCACTTAACCTCATTGATTCTGGTGAAAATCACCATGCAGCTGCACAGTTGTAAGAAACCATGTGAAGCTACAGAGCACCTGAATCATGTCTGCCATAGCACATCACATAGATATCTGTGGCAGAAGACACTTAAAACTCACCACTTCTTGCTGCTCTTCATCTGAAGAGTGGTGCACGTCAATCCATTCGCCATCTTCATCCTCTTCCTCCTCGCTTAGACTAGCGCTTTCCCATCCATCTGTCAGGGCGAACAAACACACAGAGCCTTTAGCTTAGTTTCAGCCCAATTGCCTGAATTGCAGGGAATTCAAAGATAAGGTCCCAGGCCCTCATTGCCTTTCACTACCTACCCATTAATTGCATTTATGTCCTGGGATATGCTTATCCAACAGATAACATGAAGATTTTAGCATCCCACACCTCAGAACCATGCAGACATGAAAAAGTCACTTGATATTTCACACACTTGATTACTGTTCATGAATGGCATATGCGCGAATATATCCACAACAGAAAAGATTGGTAGCCATCCCACTGGCAAGCTCAGCTCCAGACACTGTTACCAATTCCCATCTGGCTTGCAATGCTTCAAGTGTCAGAACACAAAGCTCTGGCAGCTACCATCCAAACAGGCTGAAAACCACACAGTCTTCAGTTCTTGGTGCACCCAGATCACCTGCCTCCACCACATCCAGGTGTGAGCATTTTTTTTTACTAGTGGTGAATGCATATGTCCATGTGCTACCTTTAAGAATCCTCACACCTGAAACAGCCTGTTAAAAACACCCAGCATATGCCCTCATTACAGTCAGTGAAGTCCAAAGTATCCCAAGTATGTTTAAGTATCAACTCAAAAAAGGCAGGCAAAGAAAATTCTTGTTATTCTAAATATTTGCATTCAAATGAATAAGAAAAAGAGCATGTCAAGGCACATACAGTCCCCTTAATACACCTCCAGTGCACTCTCCATGACCCCTCAGCCCTGACTTGCAAAACTCTTCTGATTTAAGTTTCAAGTCCCACCCCCACCATTTTTATTTTTTTTATTTTTTTTCCCCTTCAATTCAAGCAGCAGGTGCAGGCAGTAGAAAGCTTTTACATCTGAAGCAAATGATGGCAACTAACTGAAAAATATTAAGCAGAAAAAAGCTTTTTCTTTTCAAAGAGAAACACTATAATACATAAACCAAAAATAGAGACCAACCTTCCTCTTTCTTCCCTCCATTTTCCTCCTGACTGTCAACATCCAGTACTTCTGCTCCTGGAATATAATCTTTTGCATCCAGCTCTCCATATTCATGGATCCTGGCTTCCAGTGAGGCCTCAGTAGGCTTCCCCTGTAAGTAATCAAAACACACATTAAGCAGACTGCTACTTTTAGTCCAAAAAATTCTGTTGCTTTCATTTTAAGATGGCTTTTCTCTGATCATATGAGGTGATTTATTTTGAATTACTAAAAAAGGAGCAAATTCAATCAAGATGGCAAATTTTCTGTAGCTGAAGACTTCAATCCCCAATTTAGTTAACTTTGAAGTCAGGAAGTCTGAAAAAAAACATAGCCACCTCCAAAAGAATGCAACCTAGAAGCAGGCACAAGGAAAACACACACCTTATTCAAATGCATGCTCCATTCCATGGCATTCCCAGGGTGCAAGGGGACTAGTTGCATCAGCATCAGTATTGAGCGTGGAATCCTATGCCTGCCACAAATGCCATCTGCATCAAACACTTACCCTGAATTTCTTCTGCAGCATCTCTGGATTCAGCGAACGGAAAAGGTGTATCAGAGTTCTGGCAGACATCATCACATCTATGATCCACAAAAAAGAGAGTTTGGATTAGGTATAATGGAGAAAAGGAGGATTTGAGCCCACTGCAATTTTAAGCATTCACAGCCTGCTCATTTACTTTTCTCAAGTCCTACCTCCCACTTATTTCTCTAATGCAGGATGCAACTGCTAATTAAGGTCAAATTTTCCTAGGCAGGCTGTTGCTTTCTTCAATTTTGCTATTTCCACTGCTCCAACTACCTTGGCTTTAGTATTCTATGCATATACATTTACAACAGGTAAAGGAATAGGACAGACTACCATTATAAATCAAAGTACCACAATAAAAAAATAGCACTACGTATCAGTTCTGAAAACTATAACAATGCAAAGAAAGATAAGGTAATATAAGAGAAGAATAGAGATCTAAAAGACATGTCCACATAATACACTTACTTTTATTCTTATGAGTCTTGTATTGGGCAAGGTCTTGCAGCAGGTCTTCAGTCATAGCTAAAGGACATCTTGCACAGATTTCTTTTATTGCATTGATTCTGAAACATAGAAAATCAAGTATTTAGAGCAATACTCCCATGAGCCCAGCAATAAACTGAATTATGAGGAAGTATAAGAATCTTGGACAACGTTCACATAAAACCAAGTATAAAACAACCAGACAGAAGATGCTCTCTGCCCTAGTTCTCCAAAATCCTCCATCTTTGGCCCATGTTTTGTACCTTCCAGCTATTATTTTGCTTGATCTCCAACTATGCAGCCTGCCAGCTCCTGACCACTTAAGCAAATCATTAAAGTCTTGACAGCCCCATTATTGCCCTCACCCAAGAAATACATTTTGCATATTGCAAGAGAGTTTTAAGGTTTGCATGACATTTCATACATACCCCACAGTCATCACTTCCCCAGAATTCTTGTCAGTGACAAAGTTGTTTGCTATAGTCATTAACACAGACTGTATAATCTGAAAAAAAAAGTTTAAATAAACATATTGCACTTTTATTAAGCTGTCCAAATATTAAATAACACTATATACTAGACAACAGAACCCCTTCTCACAGAAATGTAGAACTCAAGACTTGTCACTATAGTCTGGAGATATTCTCCAGGCAAATTTTCCTGCAGCAATGCAGATATTTGGGGTGCAGGTTACTTGTATTTGTATAAAGCCACCTCTCTGAATTGTCAAACACACCAACAGGAGCTTAAATTCATATATGCTTTCCAAACCATCCAAAAGCTAACAGCAAGAGCTATCCTGTAGAACGACAGCAGGCACAACTGAGAAATCAAAGATGAAGGGTGAAGACCTGAAGATTTTTTTCCCCCCCGCTCTCATTTCTTGGCTTATAAAGTTCATAGGACAAACTGAAGATGTGTAGTCATGTAACTAAAATGCCCAGGCACTAATTTAGGTCTCCAAAAAGGAGCTCTTGCATTACACCTCTCCCAACAATTCTTATGGGTGAAAACAATCTGCCAGTGAGTTTTAATCATTTTGAGCTTGCTTTGGTGTTCAACACAAGACCAGATCGATTCCCTGTTCCCTCACTCCTAATCAATTCACTCAACATTTAGATAATCATGCTGGCCTGCTGCCCATTTTTCATGTCATGAAACTTGGTAGAATCCTGACCTCAGGTGGTACTAGTTGATGTGAAGCTTGTGCAGCAAACAGAAGAATCTTTGTCACTTCTAGAAGAACAAGTGGGGAAAAAAGACATCAAAATAAAACGCTGTGACCAAATCTGGCTGATAAAAACATTCATGAATACCATAACACAACAAAGCACTCGGTCTCTTAGTCTCAAAAAGATTTCAGTCTGCATTTATTTGAGCCACCCAGTAAAACAAGTTAAACTAGTCAGGATCTCCACATAGGAACTCAAGAGGATCATTTCTTTTCCACTTCTGGAGTTTCTCAATGGCTAAGATCATCTTAGTTGTGACACACAGAAGTCTGAAGTGCTCTGCAATTCTGGCAACTGGGGCCTTTTGCCCAGTAGGAGCCATTTTTAATAGAAAACATAGGAAGTCACCTCTGTTCATAAACTGCCTTCATCGAAACCCTCTGGACTTGCTCCTGCTTACTACTTACTATCACCTACTACTGCTGCCTAGTCATTTATAGTAAGACTACTAGTGGACTATATGCATGATACAATGGATGAGTGTTATTATCTACCAGCAGCTGCTTACCTCTCTGATGGGGCTGGAGGAATCTCTGAACAAAGGGATAAAAGTTGAACAGAAACAGCTGTGGAGAAAAAGAAAAAATCAAGTTGTGACAGATTAGCTTCTCGTTTAACAGAGATCACCTTCACAGGCCAAGGTGAGACTTTCTCCTGCCTTGAGGTAACAGGGAAACAAGTGGATGTAACAAAGTGTCTTGTCCAGAGGAAATTGCAAGAGTCCCTCTACACTAAAGATTCTGACAAAAGCACCTGGAAGGTCTGGAAATAGACATTTCCCTTCCAGGTGTTAGGAGGGACCCTAACTGACAGCAGGGCTGTAACAGCCTGGCAACTTTCTCAAGCAAAGCTCACTTGAGGCCACACAAGCCAACGCAGCCATGCCATTCCGCACAGCCCACTGGCAGATACAAGACCACATTTGTTTTCTTTTTTTCATCACACAGTGAACTTAAAATCCATTTCCCAGAGTCACCAGGCCAGACCATATCATGCCTCTAACCGTGCTGGCTGCGCATTGACTATTACAAGTTGCAAGTCAGCTTTTCACACCAACCTAACAATTCACTAACATGAACATAGTTGGTACCTCATGTATTCCAACTAGCCTGGAAATCAGGTCCATGAACATCATCTTCACTTCAAATCGTTCTTTGCAATTCTCCAACTGTCTCAGCAGTTTCTCTGCAAAGTCTACGGAAAACAAACAGGTGTGGGGTAGATTTCAACAACACAATGCAGAACTCAATTCAAAGTCACTTAAAAAAATAGCTTTTTCAAGAGGCACTGAGCTTGCTAGAAAACAAAGCAGAGATGCCCAAGAACACTGCTCCTGAGCAACCTTTTTTTCCCTCTCATGTGCCTAGAAAGTTTAAATCAGTGCAGAGATGCAAGTTAAAGCAGAGCTAGCAGAAGCTCCACAACACCAAAAGTACTTGATTAGCATGTAAAACTAGTTTTATTGGATGCATTTTGGATCTACCTGACATAATCCCCAGAGGCTTACAAGATCAGACTGAAAAGAAGTCAGACAGTATTAGACAAACGTCAGACTAGTAATAGGGATTCTTTTCTTAACAGAGATAAACATTTTTTAACTGTCAAAAGCACTTTAACTGATCTATCCAAACTAAACAGAAAACTTGAGATAAATCCAAGGGATAAAGTATTCCCCATTCACACAAGTTACAGCCTTGATACACAGAAAAAATAGACCAAGACGCAGGTCCTGATCTGTAGCAACGTAAAGGTAATCAATGTAACACTGCCCTTTCCTTGCTTCAATATATAGCAGTGCAACACTAATTTGGACAAGCACAGCAAGTTTTAAGTTATTTTAAGTACTCTCAGGCCCTGTGATCAAGCACGCTATACACATCAGTGTGTCACAAACCTAACTGCTTATCCTTTTTATTCTGGCTGCATAATTGTGGGATTTTTTTTGACCTACAAATCCAGTATTTGGCTGTTGACAACCCAAAACAGGTTCCCTGCTTACCTTGGGGATCATGGATCAAGTGAATAGCAGAAAAGTTGAACACCTCTGGCTTTCTCTTCTTCTTCTGTTTCTGTATCAGAAAAGGGAAAAAAAAAGATTTATTTTTCTCCTGAAAGAGATCTTTCTTTCTCCTGAATCTACAGGTGCCTCAGTTTCAGGTTATTGCTTAAGCTGCCATTCCCCATTATTCTCTTCAAAGAGAATAACTGTTGATTTTAACAAGAAAGCCAACCTTCTTACAACTGCACACTGTTTTCAACCACTGGACTTCAGAGGAACAGAAGCTGCTTAAAAAAGTTACCCTATAAGCAGAAACACTTGGCCATTTCTGTTCAGCAAACCACCATTTAGACAGCAGACAGTAACCTCTTCAGAGCCCTGGGTACATGAAAGGGACTACACAAGAGATACTCCAGACGAGAACTGGTTCACAGCTTATAATAGACAACATTATTTCAAAAGACCTCTCCCCCAAGCAAACACTGCATATAATCTGGCCAACAGATGCTAGAACATTTGAAGAACTTGCTCAAGAAAAGATGACAAAAGCTGAGAAAAAACACAGCACTGAAACCATTGAATTTTTTTTTGCACTTGAAGGTTACACTAAAACCCTGACAAGCCAGAGACCATTTTCCTCACCTTGAGGACCTTCATGGCTTTCTCCAGTTTCTTCTTGCGCTTGGTGGTTTTCTTATTAGTTCCGTATCGCACCATCAGCTCTCTGGCTGTGGGGCCATCATCCTTCAGAAAGGATATAAAGGGAAAAAAAAAAATGTGAAATTCAGCTTCAAACAGCCAGCAGAGAAACAAAAAGCACTGTTTTTTCAAAATCACATACTGTATGAGAACTCCCCTCTCTCTACCATTGTAAATTTAATTTTGCAAACATTAGCACTTAAAAAGCTGATTGCACAGAACTAGCACACACACACACACTTACAAAAGAGAATAAGAACAAATAAAAAATATCAGCAGAGTAAGTTTTGCAGCTGGGTAATCAGAGCAATTACCAGGTGAAAGTCTTGCCCCACAAATCTACATTATACTACTGTTTGAAGAACCAACAGCAAAAGATTTAACCCCAAAGCTCACCTCAGATTCAGAATCGCTGTCTGGGTTCTCATCTTCATCTCTCCCAAGGAAGAACTTCAAACCAGCAACGAGCACCTGAAAAACAATGCAAGTTCAGGTCAGACCACACAAACAAACAAGAGGAATTAACATAGCAAAACAAACATACCCAAAGTGATGGGATTCAAATCTCAGGCAGGAATGCAACTGTCTTTATTCCTCACAAGCAAAAGCCTTACTTTCCAATTGCAAAGAGAGAAGATTCTGACAATTGCTTCAGACTACTAGAGAGTATTCCTGCCCCCCGTGCCAACCTGCACTTTTTGGAAGAAAACAAAAAACCTCACACTGCTACATGACACTGTTGCTGTTCTCACCTTTGTCACTTTGGAAAAGCAGGCAGTTGTGATAACATTGACTGTTTTGGCATCATTCCTGGAATAAAGCAAAAGATGATCTTTTACATGAAGTATAATCAACTCTAATGAAAACAAGTGGTATAAAATAGGACTTCTCATGAGCAATAAAAGTTCCTACGAATCAAATCTCACAATATTCCAAAGACGACTAACAAAATTATGTTTCTGAATGTCACTTTCCTCTATATTTAACATGACAGTGGCTTTCCCTAGATGGAACATATATAGCTATCTAGATCATGCTGTGGAATAAGTAGCAATTGGACTCTCCACTGCAGAAGTTCTCATTGCACTGCTACACCAGCAAACTTGGTGTAGCTGCTATGACCTTTCTGTTTGTGCCACCGATTAGATTAATGCACCACAGAAGAGACTAATGGATGGTATTTCCTGGAACGCTGCTCATCAGAGCTCCTGAGGCCCAAGTACAGGAGGGGTACAAGGTTGTGTCCATCATCTGTGGTCTCCCCGCAAGTGGTGACATTCACATCCCTGCACAGCTCATGCAGGAGTCACCAGGAATTCTGCCCAAGGAGGAAATGCACCAACTGCTCCCCTCGAGTTCTGCCTCTGATCTCTTTGGGAAATACAGAATAAATATCAGATACGGTGCACATTTGCACTATTAGCAGCTAAATTCAGACAGCTGCTTCCTTCCTTGAGTTCATTTCTGTGCAAGAACCAGGAAGGTGAAAATTGACCAGCTTTAAGTTTCTAAATGTCCTTTTTGCAATCAAGAAACAGGTAATAATGAACAAGATGGCATCTTCTCCATTTTTCCACTAAAAAGTATCTGCTTGGAGATTTTGTAACAATCAAAAAGCATTTCCCAAAATCTCAGGCCAAGAGAACCATTGACAGTACCTAGTGTGCTGCTACTCCTTCCATGTTTTTCCAGGCTGCAGTTAGTCAGGATACTATCTACTAAAAATAGTGGCTATGTTACCGCATCAGGGAAATCAATAAATTAAAGTCCCCATTAGATTGGCCATCTAAAATGATCTTGCCAGTTTAACAAAAAATGCTCAATTACTCCCTCTCCATTACATTATCATTTCTGTGATGAAATTAAAAAAAGGCACACACAGCTTTTATTCATCTATACCACATGCAATTTCTGTATTATTTTCAAATAAAATTTGAAAGATTTATAAGGCCCCTTCATCTTATGTCTTGCTCTATACGCCAAGAGGGACATCAAGAGGACTACTCCATGATAAAGAGCCTGCCAAACCTACCAAATATTCCTTCTGTAAAGTTCAATCATGACATCCAGAGAGATCTTGGCAGCAGTGGGATTGCTGTCTCTCAGCATAGTGTACATGAAGTTCTGCAGAGTCTAAGAAAAAAGTTAGGAAAAGTTTATTGCTAGAATTCTTTTGTGATGTGACGATGTAATAGAACATTAACCTGAACACCCAAATACTTACTGTGTTTATTTTGTTGTTTTTATGTTTAGCATTTACATTCTTGATGTCTGTCACAATGTGAGTATACAAAGTCTGCAAATGAAGAAATAACAGCAAGTTACCTTGGCAAGTCATGCAGGGAACACCACAGATGCACCACAGCCTCCCTGAAGTGCTAAGGTGAGAGCAAGTACCGATGACCACAGTGTTAAACATGATTTTGCATTTTAAAATCAAGTTGGAAAAACAGTCTCTACCCTGTTAAGCCTCAAATATGTCCATTTTAACCTATCTGAACTGCACGCATGATTTATAGTGTAAACGGTGAGACAGGAAAACAGATAGCATGTTTAACACTTCATTTATAGTACAAATTTATATGCTTAACTTCACACATCTAAACTTTTCTGCTTAATAACGTATCTTAACAGTGTGCTTCACTTATAACACAAACACGGAGGCGGGAAGATGAAGCACAGCGACAGAAACAAAACCAAACACACACTCCTGATTCATTTTTGCAAGTTCAACTACTTTCTGATAGCAAACTAAGGACTTGTGGTGAAGGTTCATATTTATGTCAAAGGCTCATATTTATGTCAAAAAGAAATTAAATATGGCTACAACCAGCACCTTCTCTTTCTTCACAAGAACTCCAAACTCACTATTATGACAGCATCGTGCTGCCGGTTTTCAGCTCTAGATACCCCTGGGCAGCTCAACCTCAAAGGCAGAGCAAGCCTAAGACCTGCAGTTCAGCCAGGGTTGTTGAGGGCAGGGAGCTTCATCACTGCTCAGAAAGGCAGGCGAAGCTTTGCTTGGCAAGCTTAGTCAGCACAGGAGAATAGACACCTTTTAGGCTTAGTCATCTTGCAAGGCTGCATGGCTTCTGTGAACATGGTCAAAAGCAACTGGAAACCAAGGATGGTGTTTAAGGCACAGCTTACTTTTCGTAGGAGTTTATCATGACACCGCAGCAGTTGAAAGAAGAGCTCTAGCAAACTCGTTGGATTGATCAGATTCTTGTTTCTCAGCAAGATCAAGGCCTTACAGAAGGTCTGTAATGAAGAAGCAGGGATCCAAACCAAAGCTCACACTCACCTTCAGTGAGTATGAACAGAACTTAGGAAGGAAATTGCGAACTCTGACCAAGCTGGGCTACAGCTTGTTCCTACCAGCTGCCCGAGCGCTCGGTGCCAGCCTTACCATGCGGAGGTCGGTGTCCAGGACCGTGTGGTGATAGGAAAGCAGCTCCTTCAGCTGCTGCGGGAAGTTGGCCATGTGCTCCGGGTAGCAATGGGCCACCTGCACAGAGACAGCAGTAACTGAGCTCTCCCCTGGGAAACTTCAGCTGCGCAACAACCACAACCCACCAGGAAGCCTCTGCTTCCCACAACGACTTCAGAGCTGCACACAGGCAACAATTACACTCCAAAAACGTTGCATTCCTGGAAACAGGCAACACTGCTGTTACAGCTTGGCCAACTCCCGGTTTTACTGTCGAGCCTTGGTGGCCTCTGCAGCGAAGCTCTGCAGAGCTCGTTTATTCCCTCCCCACCGACTCGAGGGCAGCAGCTGCGGCCGGCGCAGAGCCCCGACGCGTCTTCCCGTTCTCCCTGGGCATTATCCGGCCGCTCACCTGCGCCAGGAACATGGCGAGCTCGGCCAGCTCCTTGCTGGGCTTGTCGGGCTGGAAGGAGAAGATCTCCACGTGGGACTGGTAGTGGTGGAGCTGCTGCAGGAACTGAGCGCGCGGGGAGAGCGTTGGCACCGCGGCGGCCTCCGCGTCCCCCCGCGCCGGGCGCCCCCCGCGCCGCCCTCACCTCCTCCGTGTAGGACGTGGGGTCGCGCTTGATGAGGTTCTGCAGCTGGGGCAGGTTGCTGGGCAGCTTGTTGCCCTGGCGGCCCGACATGACGGGACCGGGGCCGAACCGGCGCCCGCGGGACCGCCCTGCGCCGCCGCGGCCACGTGAGCCGCCAGCTGGGCGCCGCCATGCGCGCCCGCCCCCGACGGGCGCCGCGCGGGGACAAACTTGCTCGCGCCGCGGTCGGCGCTGCTCAAGGCGCGACGTGGTTGACGAGGCCCTCGCGGCCGCTGCCCCCCTTGCAAGGGACACCCTATGGAAGGGACACCCGCCACCGCTGCCCCTCCTGTGGCCTGCCAGCCATCGCCTGCATCAGCCTTTTAATCAGTCACACAGGTGGCTTCTTCCACCAGGCAGGGCCACAGTGGCTGCAAAGGGACACAGGAGATGGGGCTTGACCAGCCCTGCAGCACACGGGGACCGCTGTGGACATCTCCTCCTCCTCACCCCCTTTTCAGCCACAGGCTACACCAGCCTCTCCTGCACCTACAGCTGCCCTTGTGCATATGCACATGCCCTTGCCTTACCACATCCCAGCAGGAATCCAAGGACCACTCGGACAGGGGATGCTCTACACCAACACCAGTGAGCAATCACAAGGTCTGGCTATGAAGATAAGTCCTTATCACCATCACATTACTGTATTACACCACGAGGTGCTGCAGGCATGGTGGTACCCAGAAGCCTACAAGGCTGAGGGCTGGGGTACAGCCCCAGCAGTTACCTTGCTCCCCTCAGTAACATCACACCCAACCGCTGCTGAAATCCACACATGCCAAGGCAGGACCCCTGTGAGCCCTGTCACCCCGTGCCAGGGCTTCCAACAACACAGGAGCTTGGTCCTTGCAGCTGCTCTGGGAAGAGCAGGCACAGGGACCATGAAGTGCAGCGGACACAGCACAGCCAGGGCTGTATCCAAGGAAAGGGGGATGCGTGGAGGGGCTTGCACTCAGGTTATGAGCTCCAGCTGAGGAAACACCCAGCTCAGAAAGGCTCTTGCAGCCCTGAGTAGATTTTAGGGGCATTAAGAGCAATTGATTTCTTTGCTGCTCAAACCTAAATAGACTTGATCTTACTTTTGTTTGAGGAATCTTTTTAAATAAGGATTTCACTTTGGATTCAGACCTCTTCTCTTTCCCACTCATGTCATCACTGAAATGACCAACACCGAGAGAATGACATATCCTACCCTAAACATTTACAGGTCTTATTCAGGTTAAGAGTCATTAGAACAACCCTTGCAGCTCTAACTCATTCCCAAGCTAGTTGCCATCTCAAATGTCCTAAGGAATAATTATTGAATAACATGGAGTCCTTAAAACACTTTATTTGTTCCATCACACAAGCCCACAAGTTTCTTCTTGTAAACCAGTAAGGTGTTCAACATGTTATCTCTGCTTTTCAAAAAGAAAAGCTGTACTCCATCTTAATCCATTCACCAGCAGTGTTTTCAGAGAAAAGTTAATATTTTTGCAAGCAATTGGAATGGAAGAGCATCCTTTTTAAATACATAGGCCATCTCCTCTCAAGAAAATAAAAGTCATAGTGAAATAAATCTGAGAAGAGAGACCTTAAATTGTTCTAAAGAACATAATGTAAAAGTATTCCCAGCCTGGTTTTCAAGACTACTGAAACAAATGGTCTGCCTTTCCACCAGGCATCTACTTGGCTTTAGGCACCAGTACCAATGTACAATTCTGCTTTCCATAAATAATACTTAGATAACAGAGCTATTTGAACAAACTAAATTAAGATAAATCAATCATGCCTTCAGCCTTTTTTGCTTCTTTCCACCAGAAACAGATACAGTAGATTTCATCTCCTCTTACAGGTGGGGCAAATAGGAGTTTAATATGGGGTAATAATGGATGGAGTGAGGAAACAAAGTGTAGCCAGCAGAGATGTGTATGTGGGGGCTGTCATCAAGGACTATCTTCATTATTTAATATAGCAATTACCATATGAAAGTACAATTGAATACCAGTAGAAGAGTATTACTTCATCTATGTTTCCCTGCAAGAAAATATGAATTTCCTGTTACAGGCTATACTTTCACAACTAACTAGAACTCATGCCATTAGTGGTTGCAAACAGGAATTGTATTCTTCAACCTTCATTGCCTTTAAATAAAATCATTATCTTAAAGAAAACAAAAAGCAAATGCTTTATTCATGATAATCAAAAAACAGTTTCTGAAATAGTCTTGAATACCTTCCTCAGACACAAGGAGAGCTGATGGCAGAGAATTTTTGCAATTACATTTGAAAACTCTGGCTCAAACAAGCAGGCAACCAGAATATATGTGCAGTCTACTCCCACCCTCCAGGGAGTGAACAAAATTGGTAATGAGTAGAGCCATTAACTCTAAAATGGTTTACAGTAATTTCAGCTCTTATTCCCTAAAAATCACCATCATTTTCCTTTTGTATTAGCAACATCAATTTCTTCTCTATTAATAGCATCTTCATCAAGTAAACATTGGTCATATAGTAGTCAAAACATAAAAAATAGGAAGAAGCTAAAGCTTTGCTTACGTTGGCCATTGACTTATTCCTCTTATTTTACACAGCCTACATGGCCAGTGGCTTATTCTGTATTTTAGACAACCCACACAGGGACACTTACCAAGACACCTCTGCTCCAGAAAGAGGTAGAGCAGGCAAGGAAGGACAAATTTGAGGTTGAGGAGGTACAGGAAGACCATGTCTCTGCAAACAGGGTTCAAGTACCTTAACAGTAGTACTGCTTTCCTCCTCCCTGCTTCCACCCAGTAGTTCTGCACTGCATCTCAGAGGTGAACACCTTACAGGAACTGGCAGTGAAGTGACAATTCTCTAAAGATGAGAAAACACAAGATAAAGTCAGTTCAGTGTTACTGGATTCCTTCCTGAACAAAAAAAAAAAAAATATAAAGACTTGATCTTTCTTGTTACCTTCTTTTTTTTGTAGACAGGTGGCTATTTACCTTATAAATTAAAGATATACATATTTAATACAGGATATATTTCCCTACCAAAATGATTAACTTGTGTTCAGTAATTAGTGTTTTCCACTTTCATTGGATATAACCCAAAAACTACTTAGCAAGTTCACACCATGAAGTTAGTGGTCCAAACCAATATAGTTTCTCACTTTTAACAAATAAGACAATAGAAGGAGGGTCATTCTTTCTCCTCTGCTTAATTTAAAAAACAACACAAGTATTGAAAGGAACTTGAAGCTATTAGACACCCCAAAATTTAGATGCAGTCTTACAGTAACTGTCTCAGAGTTACCATTTGTGTAAGAAGCATGCCCACATGCACTGCTTGCTAAGACACTACTGCTCATATTTATGAATATAATGGGTAGAGATAGTTAGCCTTGGCACTAAAAACACATGGAAAAGCCTCAGTTACTACTTATCTTCAGCACTGCACAGACAACACTTCTTTGTTCTATTTATTTTTACATGAACTAAAAGTACTAAGTAAGCTAACTTAATCTTACTGAAAAAAAAAATGCAAAGAAGGGTTTAACAAATTATTAATCATTAACTTTTGTTTTCAAACATATAAAACCTACCTAAACTACTCACCTAGACTTTCAATTAAAATTTTTATAAAACAAAAAATTAACAATACAACCAAAAAAACCTCACTAAAATAAAATACAATAAATATTAACTGCAACCTTTAAAAAAAAAAAAAAAAGTCTTGAAACTAAGCTGCCCATGTGACTATTTATAACCCAAATCCTCTCCCTCTTGCACTGTGATTGGTCCAATGTCCACGAGCTAATCAACCTACGCGTGATTTAAGCCATGTGGGAAGGGTTTAGCCTCTCTTGTTTGTTAGGTTGGGGATCAGGTGTGGTGTTTTGTTACCTTGAAAAAGTTTAAAGTTTCTTATTTCTTAGTTAGCTTTTTAGGGTATGTGTATGGGGTAAGGGGATGTGGGAAGGGAGTACTAGGAGGGTAAAGTAGCAAGCAGGAGTTTTTAGTTACCTGTAATGGGTAATAAAAGAAGACTTTGTTGTTGGTGCATGTGGAAAATAAAAGTAGTTATTTGTTTCTGCATAGTCAATATTGCAGTGGGAAAGGAGCTGTTATTTTGTCTATGAAATGAAAATTTAATTTCTTGTTTAAAATTAAGATTTTTCAAGAAAAGTTCTATTTGAGAATCTGTATTTTTTTTCCTTTTGTAGGGCCTTTATAAATGATTGTGTTTTGTAGGTAATAGAAAAGGAGTTGGTTTTCTGAGTTTTTCTCATTATTTCAGGGTTATGTTATAAAAAAGTTATTCCTCTAATATAGAGAAGTGAGGGGGGGAAAAAAAATCTTTGCAGGTTTTTATTGTATTCATGAGGTAGTATGCACAAAGCTTTTTGTGAAGTGTTCCTGGTACCTACAAAGATACAGGTAAATCAGGTTTCACCAAGACTGTTCATACCAATGAGCTTAAATATATGAACAGCAATTTTATTAGTACCTGACCATTTATAGGGATATGTTGTTCTCTAGCAGCACAATATGTATTTTCTTGATTAGCAAGGTATGATTTGAGGACAAAACCAATTTAGTTCTTTGTTTTTTTCCAATATGAAAAAAGGTACTCCTTTTCCTACTCTTGTTTTTTTAGTAATTCATTTTCTGTGTGATAACAGAGTATAATACAACTCTGTGCTACATGCTGTAGGTGTCCCTGCTTGAGCAGGAGGCTTGGATAGATACTTTCTACAGGAGTTGTCTAACCTCAGCCTGTCTGGGATTCTGGGACAGGCACAAGTGTTTTGAGTTGAAAAGGAGCTGTTACATGAACCAAGAAGGTAGTATTTTAACTAAGCATTTCTTCTTAGAATTAATTTCTGCAAGTATCAAGTATTTTGTGCTTTAGAAGTCAACTTGAGGTGGGGGGAGACAGTATTGAAAATGCTGTGCTTTGATGTGGTTTAACAAATGTGTTAGCATTAAGGGTGAAAGTAATTTCATGAGATGGCTGTAGAGTGAACGTTTTGGTTGGATCCTGATGTCATGCTTTGTTTCATAGCTCACTTGCAGCTGTTCTCTAATCAAGTTGAGCGTGCTCAGAAGCAAGTGCTGCACAGATGGGAAATAGGAAGGTGTTGTCTTAAAACAGCTGCTAGCCTAAACAGACAAGTATGAATCACATAGAAAGGAAAATAGAAGAGATATAATAATGGCAGAACGCTTATATTTTCTAGAGTGCACTAAATTTTTTTGATTTGTAGTCAAAAGTAGATGTCTACAGTTACATGATCAATATATGTTAGGGAAGCCAAGTGAAAGGAGATGGATGTAGGCAAGAGGTTCCAGAAGAAGTGAATTTAGTTGCAAGTACTTGAGTAGCTTAAGTTTTGCTTGTGACCCTTCTTAGATATAACTTAACCAGACAAAAACAGTATGAAACAAATGTTTAGATTTGCCACCTTATTTTTGTTGTCTTAGTATTATTTGAGATGGATGATTTAAATATGTCCTCAGAAAATGTCTGTAGCACTGTTGAACTTGGAGAATACCCTGTTTCTCTACCTTGTGTATTATGAAAAATTGAGACCATGTTAATTAAGTGCTCATGAATGTGCAGAAAAAAGATTCATCTAGGATGACTCAAGCAAGGGCAAAATACTAGCAAAATCTGTTCATAAGCTTGTCTGGAACTATTAAGCTCTATACATATGGTTAGAATAAGAAAAAAAGCCAAATCATATGTTAAGCACTAACTAGTTGAGATAGTAGAAATCGAAACCTAGTTATTAGAAAAAAGTTATTATACTTGTCAGGAAGTTATCTAAACATGATTTCTTGAAAAACAAAATACTTAACCATTCTTCCTGAAGTTTTGCATGTCTGAGGTACAGAAACTTTTGGGGACGCTTGGCTAAACCTTGTGTCCATAATCCTAAAGAGTATTTTTATGGCTAGGTAATGAAGTAGGGAGACATGCTTCTAGCCCTTTATTTAAACATGCATCATGGAACAAGATCTAGGTTAAACACTTATCCTGAGACTTTTACTTGAAAAGGCAACCTGGGGAGTAAGATTCCATTTTGAGGTCTTGATTAAGGCATTGACAGAACAGCCTTTGGAGAAGTCATCTGATTTGTCTCATTTGAGATGTGTGTGTGTATGTGTGTGCATATATTCATATATATATACACACACACACATGTGTAGAAAAGTGTGTAAACTGAGTGGACTTGAGGAGTATGCTCCCATTTCCTATTAAGGAAGGGCGAAAATTAAAACTGAAAAAATCTCTATATATGTTTATATTTTATTATGGACTCCAATATTTACCTCCTAAAACCAACTAACTGCTTTATTGTTTGCAAAAGTGCAGCTCTTGAGATCATGTTACAGTAATGACCCTGTAAGTCTTCTAAGCTTTACTCAGAGTCACAGTCCTTTCTGTTCTCAGGAGTTTTCCACACATTTGAACAGATTTTGTAAGCTGTGAACAAAGACTGAGCAGTGTGGCTAGTGTTATAAAAGCTTGTCAAGTCTTCATCCCGATGAATAACACTTCTAATAATGCTTTGAGATGTTGCATTCACCTCTCATGATATGTAATTTGATCAATTCAGTAAGTGTTTTTCCTTTTTATATCATGGCCTCTACAAGTTCTTGTGCTGTAGCCCCGGGGTATCACAGATGGTTTCAATGTGGGAAAAGATTTCTCTTTAAATGCTTTCTAGAAAGGAGAAGCTGTCACCCTCAATAAACACATCTTTTACACAGGCCCACTAATGTCTTCTTCAGAGTCCATCAAATAGGGACTTGCTGTGCTAAAAATACTGAGCTTGTCCCTCATGTCTAACATGAGGAGTGCTGGTGAGAGCACAGAGGGGCCCCAGGCAATGGCCTGCACCTCATCCTGCCCAACGGATATCACACAACTGCCCTCTATCCGAGTTCTGCTCAGAGGCAATGCTCATGGTAAAAAGCAGAGATGGTGAACTTCAGGAGCAGATGAGATCTGTTTCTTATTTTTCTTATTTTTATTTTTTCTATGCTGTGCCAAGAGACCTTGGTAACTTTGCCATGTTTTATCAGTTAAAAGAACCTAAACAACACTAGTAAATAATGAACAAGTCAGGCAGAGTAATTTCAAAAAGGAAAAAAAAAGTGAAGTGACTATTTCTGTAGGCTTGTTAGGGCTATCAATAAAGATGAAGTCCTTAATCTAAATTAAGGAGGAAATGATAAGGCAGGAACTATAAATAAGCCTTAATTCAATTATTGGATTTAAGCATCTCTGGGTACCCTACCTGTCCTGCAGCTCTCAGGTCAGAAAGGTCTAGTGATGATTTGTTTCTGTGATGAATCTCCTGCCCCTTGGTCTTTGATGCTGAAAGGCATCTCCGGGCTTTAGACATTCAGGTTTAGGCAAGTTCAGAGACTCCAGTGACTTAAGCAGCAGGTGCTGCTCTACTTGGGATGTTGACTCTTCTCTATCTATTCCATGAGCTGTCCTGCTCTTGGCAAAACCCTTCTGCTTTGCTCACCTGCTCAAATAATTATTTCAATTTATCCTGAAATTGAAATTCCAGCTCAAGTTTACGTGAGGAATTAGTTTTGCATTCATCTGTCTCTCCTTAATAAAAATGGTGTGAAGCTTGGTTGTTTAACTTAGAAGATGAGACCTGGCCCCCATGCTTGCTTTATATATGTTCTGTGGAGATTCATGTTCAAGAAGGTTATTGAAGGCATGTTAAACTAAGGATTACTGTGCTATCCACTAGCAGGAAGGACCTGGCTTGCTGTACTGTGAACCAAGTACTGATATTTACTGCTCTTTAGCTTGTGTTTTCAAGCAATCAAGCTCTGCTTAATTTCCAAGTTACTCCCCATAGCCCATGGGAATTTTCTGTGTTGATGCTGGACTCTGTGTGTGACTAAGGCCTTTGTAGGCAGATAATGAGTAGGTCTGGTTTCCACAACAACCAAATCCAAACATACCTCATGTATTTTTTTCAGCTGGAATTTAACCAGTACCTTTGCCTGAAGCAAAACTGCACAGTTATTAACTTCAGATTTTCTTGAACATTGAGTTACCTTTTTATATACGAAGCACTGTGAAATAAAATGCCTTTTTTGTCTATGAAATCTGCACAGCTTGAGAATATCAGGTAGGTACTATTCTGTTTGCATTTCCTGTTCTGTTCAGAAGTCTCTTAGGAGTGGTTTAGTATTGAGTTACCGAGAGAGAGCTTAATTCAGGGACTGTTACTGCAACTGGAAAACACTGTTTCTCTAATGGACAGCTTCTATGCTCTGCAGCTTAGTTGGGCTGTAGCAAGCAGGCTCTGGTATGGAGACACTGAAAATAGCTGTTGTGAATGGGGGTTCAGTGCAACAACTTGAGCTGTGTTAAACTTCAGCCTTGTGAAAATGAAGTCTTTCATTTGCCAGCTTGTATCTAGTTCTGTAAAACTGCCAAGACTATTTTACTGCAAATTTTGGACTATTTGGGCAGACCAGAGACCAAAGATGTCATATGGAATAAGTGAGAATTGAAGTTATAATTAACTGTGTGAGGCAATTATGAGTAATGAGGACCATCTTGATTGTACAGCTAAAAGGATGGCTGATGGAATAATCTTTCAGAAAATTATGTTCTTGGGGAGTGCAGTGTTGATAGCTTTAAGCTTTTAGTTTGTGCTTCTGATGGTAAACCCAGTTAACCTTACATTGAAATGACTGGAATAGCCACAGCTAAGCTTGCAACTTTCAAGCAATGTGTGTGCAATGCATGCTTGGAAAGAGCTTTATAAAGTTGTTGAGGATTTTATTCGTGAAAGAAGTGTCAGCAACTTCTGTGAGAAAGGATTTCTGAACTTTGGCAGTTATATCTGATACAGAACAATTTGGTGTTGGTAAGCTTAAGCAGAATAATAATAAACGACTAAGCAGCGTGGGCTAATATACTTGGAGTCAGATATTTGTTTATATCTCAATGCTCAGAATCTAGGCTAATGTTTTTCACTAGAAGGCAGTCCTCATGTTCTCAAATGTAATTGTTTTCAGATGTCTTAAAGTGTCTTCTAACTACTTTCGGGAAAGCAAACCGATGCTATCAGATTCCCTTAATGGGCAGCGCTGGATATTCCTGAAAAAGGGCTTAGACGACTTCAGAGATGGCTTTCCTCCTTCATCTGATAATGTGATGGTGTATGGCACAAAACGAACTGTCCCAGTTACCCTTAGAAACAATGCACTTAAATCTTCCTGTGCAGCTAAACAGAAGGGAAGGAAGAAAAGCAGAACACAGGTCTGTCTTTCCAAGCTTAGTCCACTGCAGCAAGCCAGGAGGGAATATGTTGTGCAGGTAGAGTATTGATTAAACAGCCATTATTAGCAGATGCATTTGTTAGAAAGTACGTCTCCAAAAGGAATGGTTTTTGTAATCCCAGTTAAAGACTGTTCGGAGAGCTGGAACAGAAAAGTAACCTAATATGTGGCTATTTGTGTCATACGAGTGGGAGAAACCTTAGTATTGAGAGAAGGGAGTTGAGTCCCTGATCCCTTTTTCAAGGCCGGGCAGCAGCAGAGGTCTCCTGATTCCTACTATTAGGGCAAAGAAGTCACGTAAGAAGGGATTGAATTGAAAGGTACAAGACTTGAAAACACTGAAAGCAGAATCTGACATGGAGTAGTAGACTGCCCTAGTCTCAGTGTTAAGTTCTCTTTTGCATAGCCCCACGAAGATTTCATCCAACAGGTTTTATTGAATGCATGTTCTTTTTGATTGGCTTGCAGCTTTTTGAGGAGGTATTTGGAGTCCTGTATCCTGAAGTGCTTTTGAGGGTCAAGGCTGGGTACAATGGCTATGAAAAGAAGCGCCAGATGCTTCAGGAGTTTTGGGAAGACAAACAAACCCAAGCAACAAGTCCCCAGACACAAGAACTGTGAGTACAGGATAAGATGGAGAGTAATATTGAAACTTTTCTGAATTTTCCCTGGTTCAAGATGAAATGTATGGAAAGGAAATGCAGGTTCATGCAGGCAGGCATATTCCCAAACAGAAGCAGAGAAAACCAAACTTCTTACAAGGAAGGCTCTCATTGCTTGTGACATGGCATTTTTCTTAACTGTTTCAATGTTTGAGGCAGGAGGGAGGCTGGAGTGGTTGATGGTTTTGAGAGGTGCTGGAAATCACAGGTTCCTTGGGAAATGGTTTCTGAAAATGCTTTTGCTAGTAGGGTTGGTGGGTTGGTCAGATTTGTGGTTGGTCAGATTTATGAAGCTGATGTCTAGAAAGGATTCAAATAGCTTATGCTACTCCATACAAGACATGTGACTGTGTCTGGTGGTACACTAACATGATTCCAAGTTGTATGTGAAAACAAGGTCCAGCTTCAGTTTGAGAACTAAGTTATAGTGGCAGCCAATCATTGTTTCCAACTTGTATTTCTTTGCTCAGCAGCAGGGTGTCCCAAAGTCAAGATGCATGTACGTGGTTTTCCAAGAAGAAAGCATCAGCAAGAGAAAAGGTGGCTGAGCTGAACAGCTTTGCTCTCCTCGATGAACACATAAAGCGAACGACCAAGCACTTCTGTGACTGGGTTATTACACTGGTAAGTTTGAAGAGACAGAGGAAGTTTGTGTGGAGGGAACTTAACCCCCAAACCTGTCAGCATCTGCCCTTTGAGAAACTAATGGCTTCATTCAGGCAGACAAGTCCTTAGATTTGGGTAATAAAAATATGCTATTGTGTGAATCCAAGTCAGGAAACCTTGTTTCTGAATTTCAGCTCTGTCATGCTATTGGCTTACAGGATTCAGTGCCTTGAAATGTAAGGCAAGGATAAGCAGACATGCTGCCAAGCTGGCTTAAGAAGGATTCCTGGGAACTATGAGTGTATGAGTTCAACTGTCTCAGCTTGAAGCATTCCCAACTGACCTGACTTTAAAGCACTAGTTAGTATTTTAGTTCTGAATTGACTTGAGGCATGCCTACTGCTCACTGCCGTCATATTAATAGAGATATACTTGCTTATATGTACATTTAAGAAGCAGTGCAAGTGGAGAGTATATGGAATTTGAGCAAATGCATGTCCAAAAGGGAAATGGGAAGGAAAACCTTCATGTCTTTGCTCACTTGGAGATAGTCTTCTGGCTCTTGTTCCAGGGTGGAGGGAATTGCAGCATTGATGAAGGTGCCCTCATGAACCTGTTCAGCACCAGCTGTGGAAACAAGCCTGCCTTCCCTGGACCCTTCCATGTTGTGCAACTGGGTGACATGCAAGCAGGGCAGTCAAAGGGCCGGGAGATTTTGCTTCCTCAGGCTGTTGGCAGGAGTTCTCGTACAAGGCACCAGCCTTGGCCTTTTAAGGTATATCAGCCTACCAATCCCATCTTCATGCTAGCTGCATAAATGTAGGGAAGCAGATTTCTGTAGTGCTCTAGAGGGCAGTCCTTGCAAAGGTAAAACCAAGGGGTTGCACATGGGTAAAGCAGTTGCCTGTGTGCCAAGGGTGTGCTGCATGAGGAGCACCACATTTTTCTTTTGGTTTTCATTTAGTCTTTTTTAAATTTAGAATTTTAGTCTTTTTTTAATTTAGTCCTTTTTCTTTTTGTTTTAGTTGTTATTATGCAGTTTCTCCTGGGAGAATGTCACAGCTTGAAGGTGGTGCTGTTTAATATAATAAAAGGAATAAGCCTTCCCTCACAAAGATGCTGGGAGTAGAAGGGGCCGGGTGAGGACAGTTTTCTTTTGCCCTGTGCATCAGATTGAAGTTTTAAGTGAAAACTGACTAAAGTTCATTCAAGTCCATGAAGCCATCTTGCATCTTTAAAAAGAGCAACTCAAATTTGAATTAGTTGGTTGTTAGCAGTTTCAATTTAGTAATTACTTTTGAGAGTCCTGCAGATGTGGACTGGTGTAATTTGGCCTGATGAAGCTATTCTTACGAGTTAACTTATGTAACTTAAATCTGTCCTTTAACTTAGGAGGTGGAGACTATGAAGTCCTGCAGTGCCCATGCCTTCAAGGAATTCCTGGAAAGAAAGGGCTACCGAAAGCCTCAGGTGAGCTGGGAGAACCGGCCAAGGGTTGTTTGTGCCTCCAATGCCCTGTGCCTGTTGCTTTTACTGTGCTGTTTTAGGGCCCTGGTCATGCGGTTAGCTTGGTTAGGGACTTCTGGCTCTTCTGGAGCTTGTATGATGGTCAGAGATGGGTTTGTCGGTTGGAGTTGCAAGGGGCTTGAGTCAGCAGGAGTGCTAGAAGCCAGCAGTACTTTACCTGTGGATAACTGAGCACAAAACAGGGTTTGCTCTCTGAAGAATGCAGCAAGGAAGCTTGCTGGGTTTGGGGGTGGCTGTCATGAGAACCACTTGCACCCATGAGCAGCATGTGTAAAGGGCTTTTTTAACCTTTCTCTTATATTAACTGACTTTGCTCATTTTTTTCTGTAATAAGCATCCTTCAGGTAGGTTATCATGCTTACATCTCGAATCTTTGATTTTAGTTCCTGCTGAAAATGCTGTCTGAGGAAGATGATGGTGAAGGTCATGAGGAAGCACCCAAATCTTGCAAATGATTTGGCATGGAAGAGGCATAGAAGAAATGGATCAAATCACTCCTGACCATTGAATAATAATAAAAACTCTGCATCCTCTTGAAATGAATGGGAGGTGGTAGATGAATTAGTTTCAGGAGAAAAATCTCATACCAGAGCAAACTTCAAGTTAGCGTCCAGTTTTGTTTGCAGCAATGACCCGATAAGTCTGGAGGTTAGACAGGGACTGCTGAAGTGCAGAGACTGACTGAATAAGAAGTCTGGTAGTGATTTGGTTGAGTTTGAAGACACTGAAGATGCTGCATTATAACGTCCTGCTCTAATCAGAGGCTTGTCCACAGTTAACTAGATGCTTTGTAAGTATCCAAAATAGGCTTGCTGCTTGACGCAGCGTAATTGACTCTTTCTCTATGAATTCTGTAAGGACTAGCTGGTTGCAATTTATATAGCTAGGGAAGAATTGAAAGCTGGCTGTGAGAGAAGGGTACTGTTTTGTGCACTACAGAAAGATTGAATGTGCACAGAATAGAAGCTGACATAGCTGTCTTCTGTAATGGAGGCCACCTGAAATCTTAGCCTGTTACCTATTAATATACCAGAAATATCTAAAGGCAAGTCAAATGCATTCCTGCATAGCTCTGTCACCTCATGGAGGAGTTTGCTGCAATACTTGGTAGCTGGCATTGCAGATGGCCTCCAACATCCATTTGTGCTTCACCAGCATGTTAGATAAGAGCAGAAACAAGACAAGGCTGGAGGAAGGAACCATCTTTATCTAAAGTGTCAGAAACAGACTTTTTCTCAGAGCAGCATCTCAGGTATAAAGCCTTTATGTCCCAGGACCCAGGCTCTTGCAGAATCCTTCAACTATCTGTGTTCAACTGCCATTTGTCCTGTTGGCCAGCAATTACTCTTGGTAGGGAACTGTTTATATTTTGGTTTATCCACTGTGGAATAATGTCTGAGCTCTAAGGAGTTGTGCTCAACTTCATGTACTTGAGTTTCAGTAGCTGCTTGCAATTGTTTTCTCCAGACTGCAAGCAGAATTCTAAAAATATCCATGCCTTCAGAAGGATTTTTTTTTAAATAAAAGGCAAGAAACCCCTATTGCATGCTAAATTGGGCAGATTGAGACAAGGAAGACAGGCTTGAGAGAAGGTGAGTGCACAACCGATCTGCAAGCAGATAAAATGGCAATTTTAGGAGTATAAAAAAATGAACAATTGAAGGCTGACACAATATTAAATGTAGTTGAAAAGCTCATCTGAGTTGGGAAAATATAGCGGACTGAGTCGTTAGGAAGATGTGTGTACATGGGGAAGCTGTGTCCCCATGTACGTACCTGAAGAGCAATATGGCAGAGCTCCCTTCAACAGGAGGCTCTTAACCCAGCACCAAAAGAAAGATCCAATGTTGCTTGCAAGTAGCCTGACCGCATGCTCCCAGAAAGAAGGTCTTTCAAAGCAGGACATATTGTCAGCATCTTGAAAATGTTCCCAATTAGAGTTTTCCATGTTTGTCAGCCTTTTTTCCCTTGGCTGACAGGCCTCGGATGCATCCCTGTGTGCTTTTAGGGACAGACAGAGCTTTTCTTCCTGTGTTACAGTCCTGGTCTTTCAGATAAGCGGTTAGAACTTTTGGTTTTTTTGCTACATAAGTTCAGAGTTTTCACCAGGCTACATGATCCCAAACCAGGTAGAATGAGTGGCCTGGTCTGGCAGTTCTGATATATCTCTCAAAAACATGAGAGAATTAATGCTGCTTTTCTAGAAAACCAAGCAGCTCATGTGGGGACTTGAACAGGAAGGAATTTAACACACCGACTGCTGCAGAAAAATTTATTTTATGTCTTAGTAGCAAAGCTCAAAATATGTATGTCAGGTTTTTGCTCTTAATGGCATAGGACAATAAGAATTCATTGGAAATGCTTAAGATGTTACAATTGGCTTTTAAGAAGGGTGAGAAAAATACTAGTCTTCGCAAATGTAATGCTGACAATGCACTTGCATATATCAGCTATGTACTGACAATACCATCTAAAAATCCATGTGTGATGTATTATACAGAATCAGCTTCTTTATTCACTGTGGGTTTGTTACATGCAAGACTGATGGGGCAGACTGAATGCAGCTCTGTGTAGGGCCCAATTCTTGCACAACTGAATACAAAACCAGGATGAAAATATTCAAGTCTATTGGTTTTTTTACAACAGTCATTAACCTAGGAGCAAGGTTTGAAGATGGAATCACTATCAGTACAAGAGCATAGGAAGTGGGATGCTTAATGAGGCCCTGATGATACTGGTGTTTGTAGAACACCTGAGTCCTGACACCTTTGAGAGACACTTGAGAAAAGCAGCAGCAGCATATTATAATTTTGTCTAAGGGTATATGAAAAACAGAAGCTTGTGACTACTGAAGCAGCAGAAGGGTCTAGAGTTTTATAATAATTGCACATTCATTTTGAAATAGTCACTCAGTCTTGCCCTAATCTTCTCTCTCTCAAGTAGGCTTGTACAACAGAGCTGTAATGGTGCCACCAGCCTTCTGCCAAGGTCTCGTGTACAGTGCTCAGGAGAGCAGGTACATGGACATTCCTGCTGTCTGGAGCAGCTGTGCTTAGACGGGCACAAATTGAAGGCTGTCAAAACAGGTCAATGCTCCTTTGCTGTTTAAATGGTTTAGTTCCCTTGATTTCAAGGTTACTCGGCTGATTCACACCTGAAAATTTCAAGGGTGATAGTGTGTGATAGATATCATATTGCAAATATGTGCTGGGACAGTAAGAATACTCTCCGAGAACCAGCAGCTGTTCTTGGGGGGCAAAGCACTTTTGATGCTTAAAAAGAAACATAAGCAAGCTTGGGTTACTCTTGGAGCTGATGTTTGAGATGGCCTTGTCTGGCTACAATGCTGCTAGCATAACTGTGGTAGTGATAGGAAAGCAGAATGCAACAAGGCAAGCGACCGCGGTGCACGGAGCTATTCGGCGTAGCAGGACGCTGGTGTCAGAGCTGCTTGAAGGATTTTCCTCTCCCCGTGGTAGAGGAATGGGAAGGTTGTGGTGTAGCACTTGTCCCTGTTGTAGGTGTAGCAGGTTTCGGTGTCGTCGCAAGAGGTGCTCTGCTGCGCGTTGTAGATCTCGCCGCCCAGCTCAATTTCTATAGGATCACATTTTTTGCATCTGGAAAAGAGGTACAAGTGTGGAACGCTGTCGCTATAGGATATCCTTGACAAAACTCAGTGATCTCACTGATCTGGCAGCTTGGCCTTTCTAGATCTCTTGACTTTCACAGGAGCCTCTTGACAAATGTTCTCTGGCTGTAATAAGTTTTTGTTGAAACAGTTTCATAAGGCAGGTCTCCACAAAGTATGAACCAGGAAGGGTGTAGCTTTCTGATTTGGAATGCAACTTACTGTGCAAGTGAGCTTTTCATGGCAATTCCTCGTGAAAGCATTGTCCTATGGCTAATGCATTGTAACAGAGTAGTTAGGAGAGATGGCTTCTCTAGGGAAAACTGTCCTGTGTAACTCTGCCTTACTTGATCTTAGGGCCCTCGCAGTGTTTGCGAGCTGCCATGGGTAATACTGCAGGGAGGGTAAGCACTGGGAAATTGTCAAGATTACTTACAGATCAGTCATGCGGTAGACGAAAGTGGTTCTGAGGGGGGATGTGGGGTCGGAGATGTTCTCTCGGCTCTTCAGTGGGACTCTAGAGGAAGGAAGGGGGAGGCGTATTCCCGTGAAAAATGCAGGCGAAGCCTAAACTATTTTTTTCTGATATATAACATGTTCTCAACCTTTTTGTTCTTTATTCAGGTCATCCTTCTGCAATTTGTGGGTAAAAGTGACTGTACCTTTCAAATGCCAGTAGATGTCAAATAATGCAAACCAAAAGTAACCCTTGCAACACTGCCTCCCTGTTGCTCTCCACACAAGAGTTGTCTGGCACTTACATGATGCGTATGTTTCTCTCCAGGATTTCTTCTTCAGGGTTTTCTTTAGAGGGGACAAACTTGGAGGTCACTGTTACACACTTACACTTGTTGTTGACCAGCACAACCTCCTCATCGTCATATGACTGGGGATAACCTGCAAGTACAGGATATGCAATTCCAGTGTCAGAAAAAAAGGTCTTGCAAGCTGCTCAGGTAGAAAGTGCTGAGAACCTCCCAGAGGCACATGGCTGTTCTGGCCTCTGAACTGACCAAAGTCCAGGTCACTGTACACAAGACGCAGTCTCTCTGCAATGTTGAGCTCAGCTTTCTCCACTGCGGAGGCTACAGTCTGCTCACTTGTATAGAGGTGATGGGAATGATGGAGGCCAAGATGAAAACTGGAGTGAGGAGTATAAGCAAGAATTTCTTGCAAAATAGGACAAAGCAGCCAAGGAAGCCTACAGCTTCACCTGGCCCTTGAACTGGCAGCTCAAGTGTTGCCTGTATCCAACATGTGGCCTAAAAATGAACCATGACAGTGTAGCATGGGCCCTGGGTAGCAGCTTGGGCTCAGACAGTTCCTGGAGTGAAACAAGGCTGGTGACTCTGCTGCTCCAGTGGCTTCTGAAGCTTCGGTAGTGATGGTTGAAAAGACGTCTAAAGGGAGGTTAGCCAATTTATGTATCACTTGTCATAACTATTCTAAGAGTTGGATTCTAAGTTTGCTTCTATACTGTAACTATCTATTACATTGTGAATGTGGCAATCGGTCTTGTCTGGTATCTTGCAGTGGTCCCTTTTCCCCAGGCGCCTCAAAAGAGAAATGCTGAAAAGCACCCCAGCACTCATCCTGCCACCCTGCTGATGAAAGGCAAGTGGTTGGAAGGGAAAAGTCTGACCTTGACTGGTGGTCTGTTTTTATTGAAGCTGAAGTCTATCAGCCAAGTAGCTGAGCTGACTCAAACCGGGGAGAGTCATGTAAGGGTATGACTGTCTGCCTCACTTTTAGCACCTGATTCAATATGAAACTTGGTCAAAGTAAGAGGGGAAAAATACAAAAAATACTTGTCTGTCACTCAGAACATTCTTCTGTTGTTGCTGTTGGTGTGAAATGCCTCCTTTCTCACTGAACAACTAGAGGAATTGGAAATAATATTTCTCCCAGCAGACTTGGCTGACAGCCTCCTGTTTCCTGGTTCTTAACAAAAGTTCTACAACTCAGTTGCATCCCTCTTACATGGTTATTAACTCCTCTTTTTACTTCTAAACGTTGCAAAGATGAGAAAATGCTTTGCAATGTTTCTGCAGCGTTTCCAGCCTGCTTCCAGGTACCAAAGCCCTTGTGAGAAGACTTTGTAAGAGATGGGGACAGCTCTATATTGGGCTCAGATGGATCTCACAGCTCTGTGAACTCAGCTATTTTAAGCCATTGGTATAAACATTGAGAAAGGAGCAACAGGCTAAATTTATTTGTGTTCATCACAGCATCTGTGTAAGACTTGAGTCTCACTTAAAGCTTTGATGGGAGAATTACACCTGACTTGCCAAAGAAGGGAGAATCTTGAAGGAATGAGCTGATACTGTGCATAACTTGCATCTGATTTCAGTTTTTAATGTCTTAAACCTTTGATATACACAAGTGATTGCATCTGTTGCTACAGGGTGAAAAGGGTGGTGTTCAAACCTGTGGGGGCAACATGAGAGTATGTGTGGGAGTGTCTCAGACAGGAGTTGTTCGGTTGTGTGCTCCTTAGGTCTGCTTGGCTGCCAGCTGCCAGGCTGTGCTTGAAGGTGTGTAGGGGTGAAGGGCACCAAGTCTCTCAGACCACAGGCTGACAGAGCCTGTTGCTGCCCCTGGAGAGCCTAGTCCATGGGATGCAGTGCAAGAGCCCTATAGAGTTTTGATGTAGGCCTTTTCAAAACTGTTTGAAGGCCTCCACAACATGCTGGCCGCCTCTTCTTCCATTCCATGGGGTAGCTCCTCTCTGAGATCCTCTCAGCCCTCATTACTTGAGTGCTGAAACTTTTAAAAAGTAATTTTCAGAGTGACTTTATAACTTATATAATGGTTGCAAATGCTGCTCACCGAATCGTGTTGGAGGAAGGTTCACCTGGGTTTTTAAACTGGGAAGGAAAACATTGCACTCCCTTGCTTTGAGCAGCAGAATATTCCATTTTCTTAAATGAAAATTGCTAATTTTGTATCTCCTTTCCTACACCCCCTGCCCAAGAAGGGATCTCTATGCTAGAATCTCAGAGAAAATGCTGGTTGTGTTGTCAGTTATTTCAGCCTAGGACTGCCAGTCCAGGCTGTGCTCTGGGGAAGCTGGAAGCAGTAGGTTCTAGAGGGACAAGCCAGCACTGCTGCACAAGCTGGCTGCCTGGTGCTGCTCGGGCAGACAGATGCCTCCTTTGCTGCCACACTTGGTAGTTTCTTCAGAGGTCTTTGTCCCTTGGCAGTGTTGGCCAACTTGGCTCTTTGGGACTAAGGGTTGACTTGAAATATGGTCTGTATAGCAGGGAGCACAAGCTGCTACCTGTCCAAGCTCGGCCAACCTCTGGCTGGCTGCTTTGTGCCCCAGCAAGGTGGAAAAGCACAAACATATTTGAGCCAGGGTGGTAAAGGAGAAAATAATTATTTAGAGTATAATGTGGCTTCTTGTTTTAGTACCTCTTCTTTCCCCCTCCAAGTCTTTGCGTGTCTCCCCTCTGCCACATCATCTCTCAGCATGGACTGTTTCCTGGAGGTAGAAACTGTCTAGAAAAGCCCCTCTAGTCTCTGTCTCACTTGACACTTCTTTTATAGCTCTTCTGTAGCTTATTTTCTTTTGCATATGTCTGTATAATGCCTGTCACTGTTCTACACGTGCTGTGCATGATCCTTCCCTCCAGACATTGATTCAAAGCCAATCTTCAAGTCAGACTCCTGGCTTTACAGTGGGTTCTAAATCATCTTATTTATAGAATTGCATTAGTAAGTGTTCTGCTTCATCAATATATAGGGAAGATGTACTGCAAGAAAAGTACTCTAAAATTATTTGCTTGAATTAATTCCTTATGTCAATCTACCGACTTAGGTTTTCAGTGAACCTGCAACACACAGGAGTTCCAAATTTCTTTTTTTGCTAAAATTACCAAGTTGAGACTAGGGTTTTGGAGGTTTATCAGCAAAGACTCAAAGGATCACCTAGAAAAGCACTTTTGGGAGAAGGCAGTAGTTAAATACATTAATTTCTAATGCCCATCTAATTGTTTGTATGTCTTACTGCAACGTCATGTTTCTTCTCAGACATTTATGTAGAGGTATTTTGACAAAATATATCATCTTGCAGTATTGGATTATCTCCTAATATCCTGTGATCTGCAGCATTACAGAGAAATGGAGCCCAACATAACCCATACTAACCAACTGCACTGTCTTCAAGAAGGCAACACATTCCAAATGCGGCTGTTCCAACTGTGCTGAATGTCCAAGTGGGTACTTAATTAAAGTAGAAAGAGGCCCAGAGAGACTGAGCAGCCACTGATTTCAAAATGAATAGTGCAAAAAGTGCTGTAGGGGCAAGTAATTCCAATTTTTGCTGTAAAAAGCATGCAGGCACACACATACATATGGATGCATATATAAAGCCAGGACTAGGAATGCATAAGACTGGGCTCTGTTGAAGCAGCACAGAATCAACAGTTCATCTCTATCATCCTCTTCTCCTGCTGTAACTAATGGGTTATGCAGTCAGTCACACATCCTAGGAAACAACTGCTTTCAAGGAGCTGTCTGGGTATGTACTAAATTTTTTGCTGGAAGTTAGAGGAACTTCAAGGAAGATCTAATTCATGATATCAGGATTTTTGAACACAAATTTAATTCAGTGGACTACATCTATGACAAAAATGAGGATGCCTTTAGACTGTTATACAGAAACTTGGTGCTAGCACAGCCAGCATCAGTTTATCTGGTTAATTATAATGGTTAATTGCAAAATCTGAAGTTAGCACCTAGTCATCACTGTTTCAGCCTTGCAGCAGGAATTAAAAATGCCCAGCAGAAAAACAGCAAGGTGCCCAGCTAGCACTAAAGCGCAACTTTGAGCAGGCTCTGAGGTTCAGTTGTTGAAGTTAAAATTATGGTTGGTAGATGACACCAAACCCAAGGCTGCTCCTAAGTGCAATTTTTCCCAGGTCTTGGAATGTCACCTACCTTCCACCAGAAAGGAGCCCAGGGAGATGGCCACGGCCACGCACAGCACCAAAGAGCTCTTCATGTCGCCTTGGCTTCTTTTGAAGAACACGCCTGGGGGACCTGTGCCTGCCTATAAGCGCGTGTGCAAATGACACAGCTGTGTTTCCTAAATTAAACAGTCCGGCCGGCGAGCCCCTGCACTGTGGAAAATGTGCCTGGGGGACTGAAACTGGGCAAGTTCAGCAGGGCTTTTTTTTGTGTGCACAGAGCTCTGGTGTTCACAGGAGGATGGGGGCAGGAGGTTGCACTATTACTGCATGGTTTGATTTCTGTTCACAAACAGAAATTATGTTCTGTATCACAAAAGGGGCTGCAAAGCTGCTCTGTGCAAGGGGATGCCAAATTGACCAGTGAGGGACCAGCTACTGAGCAGGGGCAGTGGCAATCTCCCACCTGGGAGCAAAGACTGCGAGGCAGGCAAGTGTCCAGAGAGCCGAGGGGGAGTAGCTCCTCTTCCTAGTTCTGGGAAAACAGACTTTAAAATCACTGATGGGCTTGTTTGACCTGCAATACAGGAATATTCTGGATCACCAGCTGCCATAAAAGCCTATCCCTGAAGCTTGACCGGCCCCCAAAGTGTTCTCAGTCAAAGCAGGCAAAACAAGGGGCTGAAGGGGAGACCTGGTAACTGCCCCCAGGGCAGGGGGGAGTGTCTTAAACCCTCTGAGGTACCAGTCAAGCCAAGTTTTCCTGAAGCACTTGGCCCAGTCTGGAGCACAAGGGAGTGCTGGAGAACATGTCTTTTGCTGTCCCAAATTTGGGATTGCTCGTGTAGCTCTGGAAAGAAAAATGTTATGTAACTTCCCATGACCAGGATGTCCCTGTGGGACATACATGTGCCTTGCACAGAAAAGGTTATTTTTGAAGAGAAGCCCAGTCTTCAACACTGCTTTGCAGCAGAGTCATCTGCACAACTTATAGCAGCAACTCAAGTCCCCTCACTCCTTTGCTTGTCATTTTACTGATGGTAGAATGAAGGCAGAGAAAGCTGTGAGGCCAACAGATTCATTCTTAGCTGTCCTGAGCTTTGTCTTGACAACAACATCTCTAGAGACCGTCGAATGATGCAAAGAGTTTTGGGGTTGCATCAGCAGCACATGGGGCATCCCGGGAAGGCGGTGGGAGAGCATCACTATGCAGGACTCTGGGCCAGCTCTGCCCTAACCCTTTAGTCCAAATCCTGCTCTCTCCATGGGCTGCATCTTTACAAGAAACAAAACAGTCTTTTTTTTTTCCCCTCATCCCCACTAGAAAGACTTATTGATATAGTTTAGCATGGAGTTTTCTTCTGAAAAGAACAGTACAGGAGCAGGCTCCCTGTGACCCACCTCCTGCAGAAGGTTATAAATAAACCTGGCTAACAACAGCTGGGCAGGAGGTTTTCTGTCCACAGCAGTATTTGTTTCAGTTACCTTTCTTGTAATCAAATAAGTTTAAAAAAAAAAACATAGAAAATGAGGTAAGGCAGAGAGCAGAATGGAGCACATGCAAAAGAGGCTGCTTCTGGCTGGTTCTGTGTCTGTGTGTGAATAAAATGTTGGCATTTGTTAAAAAAATAAACTGAGTTGTCCATGAATATTTAAAACTTAGGGGAGAGTCTGGGCATGTCTGTGATTCTGGAGGATCTCTGTGTGGTTCGGTCGATTCTGGAGAATTGCTGTACAGTTCGGCAGAGTTGGGTGGGTTTCCCGGCTGTTGGTGCCCAGCGTTGCTGGATTTCCGGTGCCAAATCTGCGTGTCTGCTCCTGCTTTGGTCTTACGTGGCGGCTGGAGAAGCAGTTTTAGTCTCTCTCGGCCACCTGCATTTCTCTGGGGATTTCCCCTTAGGCTGTAGGCTCTTCAGGTGGGGACTGGCTTTATGGACTGTTATTTTTAGGGATTTTCTTTCTTTTAATGTGTGACACATCCAGCTTGTCATTGAACACGATGCCAGCAGCAAAAATCCCACTGATATTCCCAGTGGATCCTCATAGCAGGCCGAGCTGCCTCATGGGAGGTCTCCAGCCTCACCGCAAGCGGGTGGTATTTCCAGCAGACCCTCCAGGAGATCAAAATGTCTCCATGGCATGATGCGATATTCCCTTCTGTGCCCGTAGGAAATAGCCTCAGACGGAGGATCCGAGGAAACTGCCTCGGGTCGAGATGCAGGGCATTGATTCCACCTAGCCTGTTGAAGCCTAAAGCGAAGCCGCTCTCGTGGAGATGCCCTGCCCTTGGAAAGGGCACACTTCAGCAGACCCAGGGCGCTGCAGCACGAAGGCGGCTGCAGGGCAAAACACCGGGCCCGGAGCAGGGTTTCTGCAAGGGCCCTTAGCGAGGCCTGCGTGCGCTTCCAACGTCGCCAAGGGGCATCCGGGGAGCAGCGGCTGCCGGCGGGGCAGCGCCGGTCCGCGCCTGCCCTTTCGCACGGAAAGGCCGCCGCTCTTTCGGCCCAGGTGTCAGGTGCGCGGCGGGCTTGGGCTTTTTTGGGTGATTTCGGTGCTCTCGGGACGTGTGGGTTTGCGGGCTCCCTCGCTCCGCTCCCCCCTCCCAAGGCGCGCCGACCCGGAGGACAGAGGCGGGAGCACCTTCCGGACCTTCCGGGGGGGGGGGGGAAAGTGCCGCCGGAACCAAAGCGCCGAGGCAGGGCGGAAGCGGAAGCGGCGCGGCCGGCGAGCGGCGCCATGAGGACGCGGCGCGGCACCGTGTTGCGGGCGCGGGGCGATGGCGGCGGCGGCAGCGACGCGGAGCGGGACGAGGAGGATGCGGGGCTGGACGCGGCCGAGGTGCGGGCCGAGGCCCTCGCGGACGAGGTGGAGGATTTCCATGAGGAGCAGTTCCAGGCGGCCATGAAGGCCCTGGAGAGCGGGGAGGAGGCGGGCGGCAGCGAGGAGGAGGAGGAGGAGGAAGAAGTGCTGGCCCTGGAGCTGCCCGAGGAGGACAGCGAGGAGGAGGAGGAAGGCGGTGAGGAGGAGGATGAAGCGTTGGGGCTCCAGCTCACTGTGGAGCATAGTGCGGAGGAGGATGGAGGCGGTGAGGAGGAGGATGGAGGCGGTGAGGATGAAGAGGAGGATGCGGATGGAGGCGGTGATGAGGAGGATGAGGACGAAGATGAAGACGGGGAGCTGTCCATGGAGAGCGACCTGGAGGAGCGCGGCCGGGACGCCGAGCTGCCGCACGAGCTCTCGTGGGGCAAGCGCAAGCAGCTCTACTACGACACGGACTACAGCGGCGAGGGCAAGGGCAAGGGCAAGCGCGGCCGGCAGGACCTCGATGCCGAGGAGGAGGAAGAGGAGCAGGAGGCCCAAGTCGTGCAGAGGCGCTTGGTGCAGGACCTGGGCGAGGATGACTTCGGGCTGGACGTGATCCAGGGCTACCTGGCGGAGCAGCGGAAAGCCCAGCAGGCCGACAAGGGGCAGAAGATCGCCAAGGATTTCCAGGCCCTTTCCAAGAAGGAGCAGTTGAAGCTGCTCAAGCAGGAGTCCCCCGAGCTCCTGCAGCTCATCGAGGACTTTGAGGTGAAGCTGATGGAGCTCAAGGACGAGCTGCAGCCGCTGCTCCAAATGGTCAAGAGCGGCAGCATCCCGCAAGGGAAAGGCAGTCGCTATCTGCAGACCAAGTTCCACCTCTACCTGAACTACTGTGCCAATATCAGTTTCTATTTGGTTTTGAAGGCCAAGCGGATGCCGGTTCACAGTCACCCTGTCATCGAAAGACTGGTTGCTTACCGAAATATCATCAATGATCTCGCCGGGGTAGATCAGAAGCTGTCGTCGCAAGTGCGTCTGCTTCTGAAGAAGTTTTACGACAAGAAGGAGGTCAGACCACGGGAGCAGAAGGTGTTCCCGGTGCTTCCCCCGCAGGCTGCCAAGAAAAACAAACGCAAAGGTGCCCCTGCGTTTACCAACGGCCGCAGTGGTGCTGGTGAGGAGGAGTCGGACCTGGATGAAGAAGCAGCTCTGCGATACTATAAGATGATGGAGGAAAAGGTGAAGCTCAAGAGGAAGAGAGCTGCTGAGCAGGACATGCTAGAGGAGGAAGTGGAGGAGGAGGAGGAGGAGGAGGAGGACCCAAATAAAAAGAGAGGGGTCACCTACCAGATGATCAAGAACAAAGGCCTCACCCCCAAAAGGAAGAAGATCGATCGCAACCCCCGCGTGAAGCACCGGGAGAAGTTCCGGCGCGCCAAGATCCGCCGCAAGGGCCAAGTGCGCGAAGTGCGCAGGGAGCTGCACAGATATTCCGGAGAACTGTCTGGGATCCGCGCCGGAGTCAAGAAGAGCCGCAAGCTCCAATGACACTTGCTTTTTCCTCCCGTTTCCGAGGGAACAGAGTAGCAGTTTTGTATGCAATAAAAGTTTTGTAAAGGCTATTGTGGTTTTTAGTGCTTGAAGGAAACAGAACATTTTTTAAGAGTGTGCATTTCAGAAGGCGCTGGTTCTGAAAAATAGCCCGCTGCTCCTTTTTCATCTTGCCTGTGTGTTAAAGTGTTTCTTTATTGCAATGTGTCATCTTTCCATAATGCGATGGTGGCTTTGGGAGATGCCATGTGCTAAGCAAAGGTGATGAGAGGGACTATGTGGGGCTTTCAAGAGAGGAACAAAAGGGCTTGGGGACCTGGGAGGGACGGAGGGACTCGGGAAGCAGGTCGAAAACAGGATTCTTAGAGCTGCCACTACCTTCTCTGTCCTTTCTGCGCTGTTACTCTAGTTCACCTTCTGTGTTGAGACATAGGAACAGATAGATGGTTCCGGCATTTCCCCTACTTTCTGCTCCCATTCAACTCTTCTGTTGTTCATATGCATAAGAATATGCTATTTTTTAGGTGATCGTAAAGCTATTGATCTTGATATGCAAGCAGAAAACTATTACATTAAATCGCATGTGGCCTGAGATAGTATTTTCTTTCATTCAGTGAGAAACAAAGCAAAGTTTGTTTTTTTTCCTGTATTTTGTACATATTTATCTCTGATAAATGTGTAAATTGTTGTCTCCTATTATACACGTAGCATACTCACCGTTGATACAGGTTAAACAGGTAAAACTTAACCTTGTTTTTACTTTGCAGGTAAATTGCCAAAACAGATTACTTTCATGTGTCTCAGTTGGAAAATGTTTAATCTCAGAGTGAAATTCTTGATGGGAACTACTACAGGACGAAGAAAGAGCACTTCACTGTTAAAACTCATTTCTTAAAAGCATACAAGAGCTCTCTATAGCTCTCCCTGTCTCAGGTAAGATGTGCACATCCTTATCCATCCCAGATCAGTGGGTAGCGGAGCCATATGCTGTAATTCTAGTTGGGCTGGTGGTTCAATAGATCAACAGATGCGGCAAAATCTACACAGATGCTGTTGACTTGCCCTTTTGAAGTGGCGGAACAACGCAACAGAAAACCAATTCCTGCACTGTTAGCAACTCCCTCTGTAGAGTTGCTGGTGTTAAGGCTCAAGGCTGCAGCAAAGGGAGCAGGTCAGGCAGTTTCCCACAGGCAGCCAGCAGAGGGCACAGCTCATCTCAAAGGGAGGGAGAGTAAACCGTTTTAATGGTAATGAAATAACATCGCTTTGTTCAGTTAAATAGTTCAGAGTTTGGACAGAGCCATAAATAGCCCTTTACAATGTGGCATTACGCATGGAATAATCATGGACAGGCCACTGTTTACTATGGGAGGAGGTGGACTCTCTTCATCTTGCTCTAGAAGTGCCTCTAAAGGCTTTGTGCTGAAGGGAGACGAAATCACACAAGATAAACAAGTTTTGAAGACCCTTATTTAAGAAAAGAAGATGCGTATGAAATAGTGGAAGGCCCACAGAGCCTGGTCAGGAAAATAAGTGATAGGTGGAGTGAGCTCCTACCTGACAGCGTTTCTCTTCTCCGTACTCCAGCCGTACATGTGGGGAACGGGCTGACGCTGCCGTGCGACGCACCGGAGCCCTGTGACATGGCTGCTCCTCAGCCACGTGACGCTGCTGCTCCTCAGCCGTGGGACGCTGCTGCTCCTCGGCAGGCTCCCGCTCAGCAGGGACACGCTGCCCTGCTCCGAGGGGAGTCACAGGGATGCCAGCCTAAGCGGTACCTCGCTCAGGTCGGGACATACATGTGTCGCAGATCCTTGGATTATAAAAGTACAATGGCGGAGATATGGATGCTTTCCGCATTAGAACCTGGCATTTCTCTTTATACAGGGGAGGGAAAATACATCGCCTTGCTCGAAAGGTAATAAATCTGTAGCTGCCCCAAGTTTTTCCTCAGGATTTTCACAGTCTTCTTCCAAAGCATTGCGCTAGCCACAGTTCTTGACATGGTTTTACTCAAGTATTACTAGTAAATACAAATCCCCCAACTGGATGGATTTTTTAAGTGGATTAAAGCATCAGTTAAATTAGCTGTAAGATGTTGCATAACGAAGGGCATCACCAGACAAAGGAAAAAGAAAGTCTCCAGAAAGCAGCTGACTTCACAGTTTTGCTCTTGCAATTGCTGCGCAAGATGAAAGAATATTTAAATGTCATATTTTAGGCTAATGTAAACATACTGAATGTAGGATACTTTGCAAAACCTGCCAGGTTTGGGTAAAAATATTGAATGCAGGATGTTGCCTTAAACCTGCCAGGTTAGAGGTTTATTTTTTTCCTGTAGTGACACATTCCAATGCATACTTACAGTCCTGCCTTAATGAAATCTCTTTAGTACTGTCTTCGAGGAAAAAAAACATCTTCTAAACGAGACTCCAACTGGTCCTGTCCATTTGGTTGTCTGAACTGCAAAGAATATATTTGGTCTTCTTTATTGTCACGTCTATCAAAGCATCTGAAAACGCTGTTTTGAGATTCTTCTCCCTCTCGAAAGAAAGGGGGAGGCCAGAGATATTGTAAGGGATTTTGCAGGTAAGAAGTTAAGGCGTGCGGGAGTCTTGACATCCTCACTGCTTAGTACAGATCATCTTGCCCAGATTAGGATCTGGTCTTTGGCCCCTGCTTAAGCCAAGGGCTAAGGGTGCCTAGCCTGTGACTCCATGGCCTGGTGCCTTCCTTGGTCCATGACTTGTTTTAGAGAAATTCACCCCAAAATACACTTGCGAGGCTGTGGTGTTTTTTTTTTTTTTTTTTCCTGAACCACCTTTCATCAGCAGGAAGGCAGTTTGGGTGAGGAATTTTTTTCCAATTGGATCTGTGAGGCTGTTTTTTAGGAGGTTTGGTCATGATTTCTTGTTTTATTTAAGCGTGTGCCAGTTGGATCAGCAGCGAGGGCAACGAAAGCGCACATAGCGCGGAGTAGAGGGAGGAAAACCGCCAAAGAGTTTCTCCCTATGTTGCCTGTGGCCTTGGCCACTACTGGAGGTTGGCTTATCAATTTTTATCGTTTTTTTCGCTAAATAAATCGACCCCAAGGCGGGTGTCTCGCGAGGAAGGAGGTTGAGGGCCGCGAGTGACCGTTAACGGCCAACGGCCGCCGCTAACGGCCAAGGCGCGCGGCGCGAGCCACGCCCTGCGCGCGGAGGGGAGGGGAGGCGGGGCCGCCCGGGCGGGAGCGGGAGCGGGAGGGCGGCCCCGGAGCCGTTTCCCGGCCGGGGCGGAGCCGTTGGCCCGCGGCGGCGATGGCGGAGGCGGAGCGGGCGCCGCCGCCGCTACCTCCCGCGGCGGAAAGTTCCCGGGACGGCGGGTGCGCCGGGCTGCCCCCCGCCATGGAGCCGCCGGCAGAGCCCAGCCCCGCGGAGGCGGCGGCGGCGGCAGACGGCGACGAGGAGGAGGAGGAGGCGCCGCCTGCCTCGCCGCCTTTCTTCCTGCTCTACCCCGGCCATGGAGGCGCCGCCGCGGCCGCCGCGCCGCCCGGCGTGTGGAGACCCCCGGCGGGCGGCGGCGCGCTGCCCGTGCTGCTGCTGAGCTACACGGCGCCCGACGGAGCCGCCGCCGGCTCCGGCACCCGTGAGTAGCCGCGGGCTCCCCCTCCTCGGCCCGGGGAGCCCCTGGGCAGGGACGCGGGTGCCGCGGGGCGCGAGCTCCGCCAGACCGCGGCGTCCCCCCGCCTGCCCAAGGGGCGTGCGGACCCGGGAAGCAGCCCCTGGGCTGGCACGGAGGCCGCTGGTGGGGCTGCGAGGTGCCCCTGGGGCTTCCTGCTTGTGCTGCTGCCCTGGAGAGCAGCGCTGGAAAGGGAGGGCATCTCGTGGTGCTTGGGATGGAGCAGGGCGCCCTGTGTGCCCGCTCGGGCGGGCAGTAGCGTTCCCGCTTCGTAACGTGCCTGCCAAGGTGCTCGTGGTGCGTTCGGGTGCCGGGGAGGGCTGTGGAATAGTTGCCGTGCGCCTGTTGCAGTGGTCTGCCCTTGTCTATCCATCTTGAAGCCTGACGGGGCCCCTGTGGTCTGGGCTGGTCCCTGGGCTAAGGGAGAGGGAGGTTGGGGGCTCTGCTTCCCTGCCCGCTGCGTCCCAGGCCTTGCTCCCCCGTGCACTAACCGGGAGTTCTGGGGAGAACATCTTGAGCTGCGCCGAGGAGAGAAACAGAGTCTACTTTGTCTAAATCATTAGTCAGCAGAGCTGCGACCCACGGGACGGCAACCTGAAGAGCAGGCAGGGGCCCAGCGTGACCAATACGAAGGTTGTCTCTTCCAGCAAATTGCTGTGCACAGGCTAAAAATCCTTCCGCGGTGAGTTGTTGTTGTTGAAAGTGGTTCTTTCCTCTCAGAAGCTGCATTTTTAGAGAACTGTTGCTTACCAGTTGGAAAATCACTTCCTACCGTGGCTGTGATATGTGTGAGGGGCTGAGTGGTTTTGCTCAGAGAAAGTAATTCCTTTAAGATAATCATGCTTTTACTATAAAAGCCATGGCAACAGTACCCTTTTTAATACTTTCCTAAGAGAGGCTGTGTGTAGATAAGGGGAAATGGAGTCATTAAGAAAGGCACACTGATTTGAGATGACATGGATTTAGTATGGAAACTGTGCTATTGAGAAGAGCTGTGATTTATTCCAAGTGTTAGTATAGTTCTGCCGTGACTTTTGGGCGTGTGTAGCTTTGTGGAAAAGCCTTACAAAATGTTTGTAAAAACTTTCTTTTGTCTCATTGGTGATAGCTGCATGTGTGAAACCGTATGTCAGAGCCCTAGCCAGTGAATAAGTGACTGAAACACTTGAGCAGGTTGAAAAGGGAAGGAGAATTCAAATCTCTTTGTATAATGTCTTGGATGCTCCTCTATTCCTCCTGGGGCAAGTTGTGTGTGTAAATCAACCTTTCCATCAGCCCCCACCCCAGCTGCCCTACTTGTTTTGCAGCTCTCCCACCTTTGGCAATCGCAGGGCTGGGTTGCTCATCAAGGA